AAATAATAGAGCTTGGAGTAAACCCTCACAAAAATGATCCAAATAACTTACAATGAAGCTATGGGAAACCACCCGAGCTATGCGTTTATATTTTTACGCGCAGCGAACAATTGCACAATCGGAGATATCTGAGCGCTCATCTTCTGATAGCGGCGTCGAGCAACCCCAGCAGCTCGGGGGAAAACCTGATCGGGCGATCGAAAACGTCTCGGGTATAGGTATTACAACCGGTACAAAGCCAGGTGGCGACGGTGAGAATGGCGGCTTTGTGAGAGAATTAATGGAAGTAGGTGGGAAAACCGAAAATGTGCCCGCATCTTCGAGCAGCACAGCAGAGTCGAGCTAGATGTGTAATTGGTAATTGGTAATTCGGCTTACGGGCCACCACAAATTGTTGCATTTGGGCCCGGTTAGATGTGTAGGTGAGCAAAGGTTATGAGTGTGAGTCGGGCGGAAAGCTCGGACACTCGAATGGTGGGGAGAGCAGCGTTTGTGACAGGAGCGCAGACGACTTCCCGGGAACGATGAATGAGACTGGTGACAGGTGAGGGATAGCTGGCCGGTGACGGCCAGGCCGGGATGGGGTGGGACTGAGGGCGGGGTGTAACCGCGACGTCCGGCGGAAACCACCACGCACAGACACGTCGCCGCCTCCCTCCGCGTCCCCACCTGACGTTCTCAGCACTCGGGCCGACACAATACGACGGACATACCGGGGGCGCCGGGCCGGGGGTCGCGGCACCTCTCATTGTGCGAACGGAACCATTGAGCCGTGACGGGACCCGGCCGGAGCTAATCCCCCGGGTCGTCGGTCGGTCTCGGGGGACCAGGACCGGGGACCAGGACCGGGGACCAGGACCGGCGGAGGGACCGGCGGACAGACTGCCGCGCGCCGGCCGTCACGGGCCGTTGATCAGAGCGTGGGCACGCAATCGGAGCGGCGCTCAGTGGGGACGCATACTATACCTGCGGAGGGCGACCGGTGTCACTGGGGATCTCACAGGCACCGGGGACAGCAGGTGGTCCCTGGGAGGGGAACGGCAGGGCAGTCCCCGCCGGCTGAGGGTACAGACACTTTGTCGCCCCGACCGGAGATTTTCTCAGGTCTCAGGAATGTTTTACGGTACCAATGGTCATCAAGGGAGGGGTCGTGCTGTCAAGTATCGTAGGGGAAATTGGTATGCGATCCGGCCGGGGTGTGTGTGGGTTTCGATGTGGATCATTTATATTGGAGGGAAACTCATTACCTGGACTTTTTCGACTTCATAGTGAATGCTACGTTCCATTTACTAGCTTTGCGAAGTGATAGGTAAGCGCTTTAAACCAACCCCGATTGTATGGGTACACGAGTGGAGTGGGATAGGATATTAATTCACAGCCACACCACTTGTGAGCGTTTCAAACTCTTGAACCTCTAAATGTGCCCTGCGCCCATTAGGTATAGGTGTACGAATGGACAATTAACATTCCGTAACTTTATTCACGGCGTTAGCTAATAGGTGTCGTGACGTTAACATTACGATATTTGCAATGCAGACATTTTCACTGCTATGCAGCTCCTATAACAAATAAACAAACGCTTCATTACAATCCCAGTCACAACAAGCGGGCTTGACCACAGGCTATGGAGCATAAGTTATCCTCTCAGATGCTGGTAGCCTAAGGAGAGTACCTGGGATCGTGGGAGTCAGGCCGGGGCTGACCTTCAATAGGTCGCAGAACATAACGTGTTGACTGTCCACCAGCGCCCACAATAATTGATGGCCATTCATAGAGACACGTCTATGACATGGTGTTCATGTCACGCTCATCATTGATCCGTCACTACGTAGCCCGTCCCGCAGTGTCAATCCGTCCCACAGAATGACGTGGGAACGGGGTGCAGTGTTCGCAGGACGTTAGCGGGATCTCTACAGCGTTTGTTACTAACTCCATGACAGCTCTGCCCCCCTCTCTGCCCCTCTCTCTCTCCCTCCCCCTCTCTCTCTCTCCCTCTCTCTCTCTCTCTCTCTCTCTTCTCTCTCTCTCTCTCTCTCTCTCTCTCTCTCTCTCTCTCTCTCTCTCTCTCTCTCTGCCCCCCTCTCTCTCTCCCTCTCCCCCCCCTCTCTCTCTCTCTCTCTCTCTCTCTCTCTCTCTCTCTCTCCTCTCGAGCGAACTGTCTCACCTCGCCGGCTGTTACCCACCCAGTTCATTCAGTCCCTTTTTGCACCATTGCAATGCAGTGCAAGTTATTTGGGCACGAACTTAACCGCGAACTCACGGGACCAGCACGGACTCAGGGTGTTACAACCAATGCGCCACGTCATAACAGTACCGTGACGTCACAATGACGTCATAAGCAACGTGATGATCAAGGGACATTGCTCAATGACCAATACTCAGTAAATACAGCTATGCTTCCGGCAGCGCGTCGTCCCATGACCGCCACCCCGTCTCCCCTCCCCACCGATCCCAGGCTGGCTCGTCGCTTAGTCCCAGACGGCACCATTTAAATGTGTGTATGTCATGTACCGAGCCGGCTGAATGCACATAATCCTAACGACGGCACGGCAGGCGCCATTTACGGTCGTGCCAGTGGGGGAGGAGAGGGAAGGGTGGGAGGAGACGGGGTGCAGTTATAGGCACGGGCTAATGACGGTGGCTCTCCGTGGCGGAGGGGCTGCGCAGGAATGAGACCAGGCTCGGTGTGGATGCTCACTTATGCATAGAGTGGATGGTGCGAAATTGACATTGATCACCGCGTGGTGCTAGGCTGGTGCTGTGTGTGTGGGGGTCCATAAGTCCCACACATTAGACTAAGCCGTCGTTAGTGGGTAACGAATATGTTCAGAGTGCACCAGCTCTTTTACCGTATTTATCCGCGGTACCTAAATAGCGTGACGACTATTAATGATTCTCATTTGCTCATTCCCTCCCCGGTTCCCACGTACCCGACCTTTCACTGCGTGGGACCTTTTCTTCACAGTTCACACAGGCCTGGCGATTCACCTACCACCATGCATCTTCCTCTGCTCTGACTCCCCTTTCATCATGCTTCTCCCTCCTTCGTATCTCCCCTCCTCCACCCCTCCTCCTCCGCTGGTGGACCTCCCGGCGGCCGGGTGGGCGGGCGGCGGCGCCGAATGGCCGTCAGTCGCCGATTACGGCCCGCTGATGTCTTCATCGGGTGTCGGCCAGTGCCGGCGGCGGCGGCATCAACCGGTGAGCTGACGACCGGTGCCGCCATCAGCGGCAATAACCGTGACCGGGCGGCGCAGCGGCCACCGGCGCGGCTGCAGCCGACCCGACCGTTCTCTCTCTCTCTCTCTCTCTCTCTCTCTCTCTCTCTCTCTCTCTCTCTCTCTCTCTCTCTCTCTCTCTCTCTCTCTCTCTCTCTCTCTCTCTCTCTCTCTCTCTCTCTCTCTCTCTCTCTCCCTCTCTCTCTCGCTCTCTCTTTTTTTTTCTCTCTCTCACTCACTCACTCACTCACTCACTCACTCACTCACTCACTCACTCACTCACTCACTCACTCTCTCTCTCTCTCTCTCTCTCTCTCTCTCTCTCTCTCTCTCTCTCTCTCTCTCTCTCTCTCTCTCTCTCTCTCTCTCTCTCCTTTTTCTGCGTGGCCATCATCAAAATTCCTTGCGAAGCGGGCGCCTATTGTGCGTGTAGTTTTTACGCGAGGAATGCGGCGAACCGAACGATGACGCTATGTAGGTATGCGTCCTCATCTTGGAATGCCGGCGGATGTTTCACATTTGACGACGAAACGGAACCCGTTCCGACAGATTTGTGACGCGTCCAGTTCGTGTAACGGTTACATCAGTCCAGTTTTAGTCAGCCGGGGATGCTCAGAGTCCAGCTCGACGGTACTTAGGTGGTTGCATACAGCATAAGGAATGGTGGCCACTAATTAATCGGCCACTGCACATAAACCCGGGATTTCCATAGTGTGTGCTGTACTGAGTGCCACCGAGGCTAGGTAGGTAAATGACCGCAACACGTAATGGGCACGGCCATTCCCGCAGGTTTTCTTTTTTATTCAGTATCGTATTGAAAGATTCGCTAGTCGCTGAAGCTAACCACACAGGCTGGCAACCGCTGGTAGTCCGTTGACATACCAACCACATGTAAATGAGGCCCGGTGCCAACCGCGGTGGTGCTAGTCCCGATCACAACTTGCATACCACGGCTCGGGAATATGTAGTATTTGGTGTTTTCCGCCGGCGGCCCGTGTCGCACGGAGGATCCAGCCGCGCTGACACGCTGGTCAGGGGGGGGGGGGGGCAGTGCCGGTCACCGGCTGAAGCCACTTGTGGCTGATATTGTATCTCGGATAGTGAACATACGAGCATGTAACTGTTTAACTTGTTTGTTTTTGTTTTGTTGGGTTAGGCCCTTTCGGTCCAATGAGACCATTTCAGAGCCGGGAGGATGATAGGATATAGGGGGAGACATTGGTCGGGTCTGGGCAGGCACCCTAGTGAATCGCCGGGGCTGAGCCCGTCCAGAGGACAGGCCACCCAGCCCCAAGGCACTCACTGCACCCGGCTACGGGGTGCGCTCCCTCGGGAGCAGCGGTGCCGCTCCAAGGGAGCAGCCCGCATGAGATAAAGTTGCCTGTCCAGCCCGGAGAGGGGTTGCGGCGTGGAGGAGAAGGATTTCAGTATCCTGAGGATAGAAGCACGGAACGGTGGGGACTGTTTAACTACGGCGGTCCCTCCATAGCACGTAGTTTGGTAGAGTCCAGTACAGGGATTTGGAGGGACACAGCTTATCAGCTTCCTGTGCTGAAGATTACTCGAGTACATACAGCTTCTTATTTTTATTTTACACTCTTGTTGTTTAGGTATCTCTAGCACATGTGAATACTCGACTGTTAAAATGTCAGGTAAACACTTTTGCAGGATTCATGGTAGTTCTATAGCCTTGGTACGGTCTCCAGTCTTCTGCCATCTAGCGGCCGATATCACAACGCCAACTCCGGTTTCCATCACCAGATGTCAAGCCAGTACACTACGGCAGGTAGAAAGGGGCTGTATTTCCTATTCGGCCTCGGGACGCGAAACCAAACACGCCACACGCCAAGGCGAGCACATACAGACTGCTAAGAACACATGACTGGCGCGGAGGTCAAATGATGCAACGCTGAGATGCTGACATGCACAGTAACCGAACAATGACTCCTGTTCCCCGTAACGGCAAACATAACGGGAAAAGGTGGACTTTACAACTGACCCGTGCATGAAACAAAAGGCCATGGCAGTGCTGTGTTGTACAACGGTAAAACATATTAAAACTACACATTGGCATCATTTTGAGGTCAATTCTCATGTTTCTTTGAACCCATGGCGTTCAGGTTTCACCCGAAGCAGCCGACTGACTAGTTCGGCCGACGGGAGTTGAACCGGTGGGTGTTCACTGTGATGCCATAGACTTCTGGACGGGTCGGTGGTCGGCTCTGGCGTGGGATTCTGTCTCAGCAGAGTCCCGGCAGTGCCGCACGACTCGGTACATCGATACAGAGCGCTTCGCGAAGCTAGGGTGGCAGCTCGAACTCGGTCTGACCGCAGAGACGGAACGCGAGGCGGCGGCGGCGGGGTGCGATCACATCATAATTCATAAGATGGCAACGAATGAACATTGAACCAGTTGTCTCAATGGAAATGGGTGACACATGATGAGATGAGGAAGTAGGTGGAAATGAGCGAAAATGAGCAATGAGTGGAATGAGTGGCATGGAGATGGAGTGACGCGAAACAAGCAAACGACATAAAAAATTACAGGCGTAATGTGCATTGTGCCAAAACTGCTGGAACGTATACAACATCGCATGCAATGGTAAAACTCGGCAAATGACCGGTGTAAAGACTAAAAGCTCATCCAGATGACATCAAAACCTCGCAAGCAGTTACACATAACCAAAGTAAGACTCCACGCTAAAAAAATCGTCCCCAAAGTTGATAAAACCCCACCTATGAAAAATTACCGTGAATCCGAGAGGCACACTTGGGACGGGGGGGGGGACTGACAGTCCCGACGGCACAACCACCTGCCGTGGCAGCTGACCGCCCAACACATGAGAGCAGTCACGTTCGTTACAAACACTACGTCCTATAATCTACGTCGCATTACAAGAGCTAAGTATTGCACTCGACTGGCAGTGGCCGGCTGAAATTGGTCGCTTTGGTTGCAGGAGCGGTGGCGGCAGGAACTTTAGCTTCAAGGCGCGGTCGCCAGATGTCAGTGGAAGCCGAGGTTACGACGAGCTGGGGGCGTCTGTGTCGCGGCGCGCCGGCCAGGTGAGGGGGCGGGCACCCGCAGACGTGGGGACCTGGAAAAGAGATAGTCTGATAAGAATGGCTGCAGTCGCCATCTCCCTACATATGTTTTCATCCGTGGACATTATAGCTAAAAAAAGACAGCAGCAATAGAGATCGGACAGCAAAGGCAGCAACGGTGCAACAAGAGCACACGTCACGCCTAAGCACGCCTTCTCAAGTCTATCGCCATAACACCCTTCTTCCCCTCCTGTCAATCACCTTCCCCATCCACCGTCCACTGACCTCGGGCTGACGGTGCGTGACCTGCCGGGCGCGGTGACCACCAGTCTCGGCGACCGGCCCAGTCGGGACGGGGTCAGCAGGACGCTGGAGCCGCGCAGTCGGTCAACCGCAGAGTCCAGCCGGCGGGACTCAGAGTCCAGCGCCGCGCCGTCCAGACCTGGAGAGAGGAGAGGGGGAAGGGGTCAGTTGTGGTGGAAGGAGGTACATAGAATGTCTCATGTGATTGTTAGCCCCCGTGCGGTAGGGATTTCGATTCGCCGGACAGTCTTTTACTGAATACATTAGGTAGTAGCTAGGTGTACCATTGCCTGTCTCCGCCCAGCAGCTTCCCTCCCCCTGGCTGTCTCAGTTGTTGTTGTTGTTCTCCCCGGGTCGGCTCACGGTCGACCGTAGCCCAAAGGCTCTTGGTGACTGAGGTAGCCGCGGCTCAAGGCCGCCACGGCCCCGCCGTCCCGAAGCTGCGTAGGGTCCGGTCTAATATTGCCGAGTAGTCGGAGCCTCGCTGTCTCAGTCGAGCTGTCCCCCTCCCCCCCCCCCCCTAGCCCACCTTCGTTGGCGCTGACGTTCCTGAGGCTCTCGTCGAGCGAGGAGCGGATCTCCCGGATCTCCTCTCCGGCCCGCGTGCTGCGCAGGATATACTGCTGCCGGGTGCGGATCTCCTGCGACAGCTGCTCCTTCAGGGTCCGGATCTGACAGAGGGAGGGTCAGAGTCACAGTGGGTGACATGGTAGCTACCGCTCGGGTTAGAGGGACAAATGTTGTGTGGTAAGAACGCATGAGGTTTGCGTAATAACCCGAGACGAGGCCGAGCTAACGGGTGAACAGACTGTGCATGATGCTTCAATGGCGGGCGGGCGGGCGTGTAAATATGGTTGCCTAACTGAACTACAAAAGAAATTGAGACCCACCTGTTGCTCCAGGCCGACTATCCGCTGTTTGTAGTTGCGCTCTTTGGCCTGCATCGTCTTCTCGAGCTGGACATAGCGGGCCCTCAGCTGGTCCAACTCCAACTGGGACTCCTGTGGTAGCGGTGTCAGTTATGGTTAGCATTCAAATTCGAAAACCAGATTCACGCTCATGTTGATCAACAATGACAATTGAATTTATTGCAATTCACTTCAATTTCCTTCCTATACTCGCTTTTCATTTCACACACCTTGAACTGTACCAAATGGCCTTTGTCGCCAAGGCGTCCTAAACCTATACCATCATCAGCTGCAACTTGAACTGAAATCTCACAGGCATCCCCACCCACATCCCGACTAACCCTGCCGAGCTGTCCGTGCGCCGCCTGGGTGCCGCGCTGGGCCAGCTGCAGCTGCAGCTGGTGCAGCTGCTGCTCGAGCGAGCTGCACTGGCGCTGCAGCTGCTGGTTCTCCTGTTCGACCGCCGACAGGGAGCGGTCCAGCGCCGTCCGCTCCAGGGTCGACTTGGTGGCCGTCTCGTCCGCGCGGAGACGCTCCCGCTCCACCTGTGGAACAGAGAGGAGAGGTGATTGCCGGGCAGCAATGGTAACAATGGACATTCCGCTCTACTCGGAGACGGGAGGCGGACTGGGGGCGCTGAAAGACGCTCCACCCTGTTCGGGACCGTCACTGGACAGTAGATGGACGATTAGTAACGACGCTGTCGTATTTCCATTATCTGTAGCAACAAGCACATTCTTAGAATTCCAGCATGCATTCAAGGCTGAAAGTTGTCTTCATTTTTTCAAGCTAACGCCATACGCCACCCTAAGGAGACAACAGGCGCGTCCCCGGCCTCGGTACTTTACCTTGTCGAGCGTTTTCATGAGGGCGGCTCGGTCCTTCTCCAGCTGCACCTGGGATCGCTCCAGGTCCTTCTTCTCCACCTCAATCTGGGACAGTTTGCGCTGGAACAGATGATCGTGGGAATGTGACCAAGACCGAGTCAATGCTTGATACGCACGCCTCGGTGAGTCAAGGGCACATCAGCTTATCAGCTCAATGATGCTGGCCTGATACAATGATATGGTCTGTAAATTGGCTTTCGTGATCGGATACAACCACTGAAACCACGGTCGGCTGTTTGGTCAGATCTCTCGTCTTTCTCCTGAGTGACACGCCATTTATTACCTGGAGTACGGCGAGTTTGTCGGTGAGCTCGGTTTTGTCCGTCTCTAGGCGCCTGATACGCTCCAGGAGCTCCTGCTCCCGACCGGAACGCTGCTCCAGACCCTGGTCGAGCCGAGGACGCGACAAATCCGTCATCCAGAGCGGCAAAGAACCACGGACATTGACGGTTCGGTGTCATGTGAGAAAATCGGAACCATAGCGCCAGGTTGAAGCATCTAATGCCAATGCTTAGAGCACAGGCAGTCGCATCGCTCACACAGTTTATAACCCGATCACCTCCGACCAGCAATATGCGCCGTCAACTTTCATCCCGCTACTCTCCGCTCCAATCCGCCTAACCCCTCTTCCTTCCCCCTTCTCTCCCTCCTCACCTGCTGGCTGGTCTTGACCTGCAGCTCGAGCTGGGAGCGCGAGAGCCGCTCCTGCGCCAGCTCCCTCTGCGTGTCGCCGCTCCGCTCCACCAGCTGCTCGTTGTGCCGCTTCAGCTCTGTGACGGTCTGCTGGACGGTCGAGAGACGCTCCTCGGCCGCCGCCCGCTCCTGCTCGGCCAGCTGCTGCTGCCGCTGGGTCTGCGGGACGGTGCGGGGCAGGTGACGCAACGCACTTGGGGGAGTTGATGGGGTGATGGCTTTGGACTTTGGAGGCGAAATTTAGGCATGAAACACGAAGTACACCGCAAGACAGCAAGCAAATGTTGTTTCGAGCGTTGACATCGAACAGAAGAGCGACTTTATTCCGATAATGCCACGATGAATCGTCATTATACCCACGAGATAAGCTACCTCATTGAGTCTGCTGAGCATATTCTCCGTCTTCCCCTCTACAGCTTTTCCTGTCCCTCACTCCCTACAGCTGGTCCCCGTGTCCCTCACCTGTTGCAGCTGATCCTGCAGGTGGGCCGTCTGCGCGCCGGCCTCTGCCAGCTGAGTAGACAGCTGCGCCACACGGTCCTCGCTCTCCGCGTGGCCCGTGTCGGCGGCGGCCGCCCTCCGCTGCAGCCGGTCCACCGTCAGACGCAGGTGGGCGCACCGCTCCTCACATGAGGTGACAGACTTGTGCGCCTCCTCCAGGCGAGACTGCAGGCTCTGGAGGTTAGCGGGGGACGGGGGGTTACTGGTGTCGGTGGTGGTACGAATAGAGGAAATAGCAGTGCTGAGGAAAGGAAGCTCAATAGCAAATCATGGTGAATATAAAGTAGTTCGTATCTTCATATCACCAAAAAAAAGCATGACTGAGTAGCTAAATAAATATATATTCGGGATACTTGATACATTATTATCGCAAAGCCTTCTCCACTTCACTTCAACTAGTCAGCACCTAAGCAACTCACTCGCCATCCTCACTAGTCACCACCCCTCCCACCCGCGCCCCACACACTCCTCCCTCTCACTCTTACCTCGATCTCGGCGTCTCTGTCGTGCACCAGCTGTCTGGCCCTCATCAGATCCCCCTCCAGTCCGCGACGGGCCGTCTCCAGCTGTGCAGCGCGCGCCTCCTGCTGCTCCAGGGAGTGGCGCAGCTGACGGCGCTCCTCGTCCACCGACGACTCCTGACGACGCAGGGTGCCCAGCTTCTCCTGGAACCGCGGCGGAGGGGGCAGCGAAGGTCAGTCACGACGAGCGATGAGGTGACATATCGGAGGCATAGTGTTTTGTAGTATCAGCGGCTCAGTCGCGCCCATCCCGGTGTCCCCCGGTGTCTTATTTGGTCGTACCTCCAGCACCTCCTTCTCCATCTGCAGTTTGGTGTTGGTCGTCTCGAGCCGGCCGAGCCGCTCCTGCAGCGTGCGCGTCTCGCGCTCTCGCTTCTTGTTCGCCTCCTCCTGGAGCAGAAAATGTGGAACAAATCATGGCGTGATACGACTTTGCAGCTATTGAAGTACTACCAAATTTCGGCGCCTCATCAAATTAATAGTGAGCCAATGACCCAGACTGCAGCGATGCTGAACGTGCCTCCAGACCAAGCCCAGACCGATAACCTGCATTCTGCTCCCCCCGCCCTGACTGTCATCTGACCTCACCCCAACCTGTGAACTACCCCCGACCACTTCCTGACCTGCGCCCCCGCCTGGCTCCTGGTGTCGGCCAGCTGTGCGTCCAGGAAGCGTTTCTCGGTCTGCAGGCCGGCCAGCTGCTGCTGACACGTCTCCAGCTTCTGACGGGTCTCGCGGTGGGTGGCTCTGAGCTCCTCCAGCTCCGACTCGACAGACTGAGCCTGGGACTGCGCCTCGTCCTGACGACACGGCGCGGCGGTTCGTGAGAGGCGAGTGGATAGAGTGCGTGAGGGATAAAATGAAAATTGTATGGAGGGTAGATGGGTAAAAAGTCAGAAAGTATCTAGGGAACAATTGATAACAGCTGAGGTTAGCGAGTGAGAGAATGACACGGCGCGGTGCAGAGTAACTTACCCGCTGTCTCTCTATCCTGTTGACCTGCTGCATGAGATCCTTCAGGCCCTGTCGGACAAACTCCGGGTCCACGTCCACAGCGTTCGGCGGCCCGCCGGCCACTGATTCCAGGACGGCACTGCGCTCCGAGTCGAGCACGTCACCTGGAGCGTGACACATAGGTCAGAACATCAGAACAGAACAGGTCATCGAGGGGTGGGTGGAGAGGACAACGGCGGACATGACGAGGTTACGACGGGTTTAATGGTCGGACAGTCGGAAAGACTAGGCTGCCTTTTGTTACTGTGGGAGCGGTTAACATCAGACAATTATACGAAGTGCGTTGCGCGGATGTAAAACAATTATGTCTGTTGAGCTGAATATTTACTATTGATCGCGCTCGGTAATCAACTCGCCGTCTCTCTTGGGTACCTTGTGAGGCAGGCAAGTTTAGTTCAGCGTGACGACTTACCCCGAGCTCGAGCAGTGGCCTGTCGGTTCGCCCGATCTTCCATGCCAACAATGAGCGACTCCAACTCCTCAAGGGTACCGAATGAGCCGGTGCTTTCTACGTCGTAACGAAAACATATTGAAAGTAGATGAATACGAATTCTTAGCACAGGCGATCGTCCAATGCGGCATAAATGACACTAAGCGAATGCCTGTTCATTGGGCATCGTATATAAATATAAAGAGACTATCGAACGACTAAGAACAACCACAAGACGCATACCAGGACAAAAGCCATGCAACAACAAACAGTAGCTCCATTGCTAAATAACTGAAAAAAATCCGTCTCCTAATGTTAGCGATGACTTACGAGATAGGTAATTTCATGCTAGACTCAAAACCTCCGTCTAAATTTGCGCGATGTTTCGCAAAAAAAAAAATTCTTCCTGACACAGACACATGCGCGGCCCCAATAACGCAAGTCCTCCCATCCTTTTGCCCCGAGACTGACCGAGGTCACCCGACTCTCCACTGACCACTCACCCAGGCCCCCCTCTGACCTCTGACCCAGGTCAACCCCTCACACCGATCTCCTACCCAGCTGGTCACCCGGTTCACTGACCTCTGATTCATACTACTCCCTCTCCACTCATATCCAAACTACCGCACCCGCTCTACTGACCTGTCATCTGACTCAGGCCCGACCCCATCCACTAACCTCTGGCTGAAGTCAGTCCCGTCCTCCTGCCGGCCGGACTGGGCGGTCGCCACTGGCCTCCCCCACCGCCGTCCAGCCGGATCCCAGCCACCCGGCGCAGCGAGGAGTACATCGACGTCAACTTGTGCTCCATGTCGCTCCGTACCGACTCCAAACGGGAGACCTGACCCTCCAGAGCCTCCACCCGGCCCTCGGAGGATAGTAACTTCAGCTGGGGACGGACAAGAGAGCAGAGGTAACTGGAGCACAAACGAAATAGCGAGGCTCGATTTATTTCATCTGTCTCGTCTTTCCCTTCCTCAGAACAGTCAACTCCTTCTCCTCCACGCCTCCACCCCCTGTTCGGGGATGAACGGGCACCTTTTTCTCATGCGGCTAGCTCCACACCAGGAACAGGCCTGTAGCCGGGTGCGGTGACCGTTAGGGGCAGGGTGGTCTGTCCACTGGACGAGCTCAGCCCCGACGGGTCACCAGGGTACCCGCCCAGCCCAATGTCTCCCCCTAAGTTCTATCATCCTTTTGGCTCTGCAATGGTCGCATTAGACCGAAATAGCCTAACTCACCAAAACCAACAATCGAATTATCTTATAATTCATCCAAATTCCCTACTGACCCACAGAAAGCTATCTTTGTCCACCACATATCCACCACGCGCCCTACCTTGAGGTCGGCGGCCTCCTGGCTGGCGGCGCTCAGTCGAATCTCCAGGTTCTTTTTGTCGTCCTCCAGCCGGTGAGTGGCGGCGCGCGTCTCCTCCAGGGCGCCGCTGAGGTCCCGCTCCCTCCAACGCCAGCGGTCCTGGTGCTCCGTCAGCCGCCGCTCGCAGTCTGCCAGCTCCCGCTGCAGACCGTCCCGCGCCGACTCCGTCTCACGCAGCTGTGAGACGAGTGAAGGAGACACGGAGATGGTTAGAGGAGGGCGTGCTACGGTCGTGGTTGAGAGAATCCTTAATCCTTAATCCTCTATTGCTTTCGTGTACGGTGGTTTGAAGACGTCTCACAGACATTTCGTTTGATGTGAATAATCATGTATAAACCGGCGTTAATGTCATTTAGATGTGTTTTAGCGCATCGCTCTTTCCTTTCTCCTTTTAATCGCGTTAGACTTAATTGAACCTTTCATTGATCGTAATTCAACCCGCTAAGCCTCCCTCTAACCTGATTTTTGGCGGTGTTCAGCTCTGTCTTCTGCGCCTCGCTGACGTCCTGCTGGCGCGCCAGCCGCTGCTGCAGCTCGGCCAGCTCCGTCTGACGGTCCTGCAGCTGCAGCTCCAGCTGCTTGCCCTGGCGGCGCAGCTCCTGCAGCTCCCGGCCCGCCTCCTGCCGCGTGCGCTCCAGGTCCCGCACCTGGATCCGCAGCTCCTGAGACTCCTGGGCGGACGACTCCTTGGCGGCGTCCAGAACTGGAGGCAGAGAGCGTGTTGTCACATACCTAGTCAAATGGCTCATATTTAACAGAAAGGATACTCAGTTCAAGTCTCTCATTAAGCATCAGGCGACGTTTCTACTCACTGGCGATTTTCTGTCCGGCCTCGTCGAGTGACCGTTTCAGCTCGCCTTTGTCGGCCTCGAGGCGTTTGATTTTGTCGCGCAGGTCGGCGTTGCTGCTCTGTAGGGTGGTCACCTCATGTTCAGCCTCCTGGAGCGCGCGCTTCGTGTCCGAGAGTGAGCGGGAGCACTCGTCATGGCGCGACTCGGCTGCGGGAGACGGCGCAGGAATGTAAGAGAAATATCACTAGAAAATGGTATAAGCTACTTAAACATCTCAACTCTTCACGATCACAAGAGGTGAGCCTTGCACATGCACAGCTAATGCCAGGAACACATTTTTGTTAGCGCTGTTTCGCTGTACAACCACCGTTCCCCTGTCGTTCGTACCATCCTTGAGTTTCCGGTTGAGTTCACTGAGCTCCTTCTCGAGCCGGTCGCGGTGCTCCTCGGTGACCTTGAGTTTGACCTTGAGCTGACTGAGGGTCGAGTCGGTGACGTCGCGGAGCCGCTGGGCGTCCAGCACCTGGTTCGACAGCGACGTCACCTCCTTCTCGTGCGCGATCCTGGAGAAGAGGAAAGAGATGAGCTCTGTCATCAGGAGCCAGCGTAAACCGAGCTATGTATCGTAAGCCTATGCAGAAGTGACCATTGAGACAGTCGATTTGCCGTGCCGAAGGTGCTGATAGATGTTTTGTTCTTGCGGTATACCTATTCTTACACTATGTAAGGGAGCTGGAAACATATTCCGAGATTTCGTGACTTGTATGCGTCACGACTTTATTGTCGAAGGTATTGAAGTAAACTTATAGCGAATGCGTCGATTAAAGGGAAAAGTATTTAGTTCCAATGCAACTATAATGGTCGCAAAAATATAACGGTCCATCGGTCATCCCCGTCCCCCCATGAAGGCGATCCGTACATCCGTCCCTCGGTCCTCCATATGAAGCACTCACTCCTTGTCCTCGATCTGTGAGCGTAGTCGGGCCACTTCCGTGTGCAGCGCGCCCAGGTTGGAGCGGGACATCTCTCCGTGAGAGGAGGCCTCGCTCTTCAGCCGGTCCAGCTCCGTCCGGCACTGGTCCAGCTCACGCTGGGACTGCTGGAGACGGTCCAGCACCGCCTGCTGCTCCTGCTGGGCTGCGGAGCGGACAGGGGAAATACATCATACCGACTGCCATTTCTAATTGAGCGAGGGAACTGTATTACTGTAACTCAGTGCACACAAATATTCATCTTGGCACCACAAACACACATGACCATTACCTGAGCAGACGTGCTCTCCTGGGCTCTTGCTGCCGTTTGCGGAATTCTTCCATCACCCAATCGTTACCTAACACTCGTTCCATCTCCGCTCATCGCCTATTGCCTCATGTATCGCCCGTCCAATCTCCGCCCGCTACCTATGTATCGCCCGTCCGATTCTCCGCTGGTTACCTAGTGTGAGCGCCTGCTGTTTGGCCTCCTCGGCGGCCAGTAGCTGCTGCTCTCCGGAGCGGAGCTGCTTCTCCAGCTCCCGGTGCAGCGTCTGCAGCTGCTGCTCCTTCTGCGCCAGCAGGCCGTCCTGCTCCAGCGTCCAGGTCTGTACCGACTTCTGCAGACGCGTCTCCAGCTGGCGCACCGCCTCGTCCTGACGGCAGCAGAGCGGTGGATGGCAGTCGGGGGGAGCGGTGTGAGTAACGTGTATGACTATATGATATGGCCTTGGTATCATCAGCTATAAATGACAAGCTACTACCACATATTAATTCCTAGAGAGCATGCCACAGAAAGTTGGTATACCTTACCGACACTTCTGAGACAGGCTTGCCGTCCAAGTTGTCCGCTATCCACATGCATTATCCAGATCCAAGTGTGTCCCTTCCTCCCGTTGTAAACGTAACTGCTGTTCAGTAATCAGGCCCGCACCTTTTCCTTGGCCAGCCGAGCCACCTCCTCGTCGTGACCCTGCCGGAGGTCGGAGAGCACGCGCGCCTGCTCCGTCTTGGTCTCCTCCAGGCGCCGCTTGAAGTCGGCCACCGACTCACGCAGCCGCTCTGCAGACGATTTCGGGAGTGTTGAACAAGTGGTGATGACAGTCATCTACAGCGAAGGGATATTGTGGCAGATGTTTTTTCTTCGATAAATGAGTTATAAAACGGAAAAACTCGTCGAGGTTGTATTAATTTATCTGTCGTATTTATTCAGCCCCGATAGGTCTTGGGCTGTGTTGTCTTGCTGCGTCGCGCCCATAAATGTACGACGATCCGATCCTGCGTTTCGGAAGCAGATCCCCCGACACCTCTACCATCACTCAGACCCACCTGTGACCCGCTGGGTGTAGCTCATCTCACCTCCCTCCTGGTCCATGTCCTTGCGCGTGAGGTTCAGCTTGTTCTGCAGCTCCTCCCTCCGCACCGTCAACTGCCGGTTGTCCTTTTGCAGCTGCCGTTTGGCCGCCTCGGCTGCCTCCAGCGCCGTCCGACTCTCGAACAGCTGCATCTGGGGACGGCGGTCGAAACAAGCGAGCGGAGAGTTAAAATGCATTATACAATTACAAGCGTTAGGTAAGTGTTGGAACTAAGTAGACATATCGAGAAATTATCAAACACTTCGCAAACAGGAGAGCCAACTGTATTGTATTGTAATTCATATCCTGAGTCTCACACGCACATTTCAGAGGTTTAAAGGCCCCGTAAGGCCGTCCAAATATTGCCTTGGCCGACGGTATTTCACGTCGTCCAGGCGGGGTATTGGGTAAAGTTTTCAACTAGCAATAACAGCACCTCGGATAAACCTCATTGGTTACTGTATCGCCACTGCGCAAAGATAACCTAATAACCAAAAATGGCCTGACTAGTATGTTGGTACTGGTGAAAACCATGTTAGTTTCATCACAACATTCACTCTTTCAACCCATGCATAGAATCCACACGACTACGTTTTGTTTTGACTAGAGAACTTGACAAATTACCCCCACTATAGCCTTATCTGTATGGGGAGACTTCAACGCTGCCGGACGGTAACTCGTAATATGCTTTGCAATCTGACACCAATGTGATGCGCGCCACCTAGCAGATGCAGAATGAACTAGAAATGTGCACCAATGAAAACCATGACGTCACCATTACCATTGGTCGTAAACCTAGCGCAATGATTGGATAACAAGGTAACTATCACCACTGAAGGCGCTGATCCGAAGCGCTACGAACGTGTGGGTGGAAGATTTAGGCGCCAGACACAGGACGATGGGAACATGCAACTCCAAGACACAGAACACACTGGGTACGACGAGCGAGAGTTATAGACCAGCAAATTTCTAGAGGCGGCGCAGAACACACATTGACATGAGGATGGGATGGGAACACTCTGCTTACCTCGGCGTGTTGTTTCTCTGCTCGAAGTGCGGCCAGCACCTCGCGGAGACTGGCGTGCTCCTTCTGCAGTGCTGTGTGTCGCGCCTGGAACGGAATGGTCAGAGTGAGAACAACCGGTCAGTGGTCACAGCTGCCATTTAATCAAAGAACATAGTTCTAACTAAAATGCGTGAAGAACAAGCTGTAATCGCAATATCACCACACAGGCACGTGTCCCTTTCTCCAACATGCATCTCCCCCTCTCTCTCTCTCTCTCTCTCTCTCTCTCTCTCTCTCTCTCTCTCTCTCTCTCTTCCCTCCCTCCCTCTCTCTCTCTCTTCCCTCCCTCCCTCTCTCTCTCTCTCTCCCTCCTCCCTGACTGACCTGCAGGTCTCCAGACGCTTTGGCCAGCGTCTCTCTCTCCGAGGCCGTCCGGTTCATCTCCGCCTTGGCGCGCTCGTAGTCCAGTCGCGTGCGGGACAGTTCCTCCTGGAGTGCGGCCCGCTGCCTCTCGGAGGTGGCCAGGCGGGACTCGAGCTCGGCCTGGTCAGCGACCAGTTCCGATACCTGGTCCTCCAGCTGAGGGGTGGAGGAGGGAATAACAGTGTCAGAAACCGGAGGAAGGTGAAACAAACAAGATGGAGTTGAAAGTGTAAGTAGACTCGGGCGGTGTTTCAGACTATAGTAAATCGGAGACGAGCACAGAAGGACTACTTTGCAGCTGTTCCTTCTCCCTCCCCATTCTGTGTCGCGGTCCCGTCCCCTCACCTCCCCTTCTATCTCTATGCAACTGAGTGCCTGCCGTCTCCCTCTGGGCTCTCTACCTCTGTCCCTTCCCCTTACCCTTTCCCTCTGCGTCTCTATCCCGTCTTTCTCATTTTTTTCCATCTGCATCTCTGGCTCAGTGAGTGTCCCCCCCCCCCCTCTCTCTCTCTCTCTCTCTCTCTCTCTCTCTCTCTCTCTCTCTCTCTCTCTCTCCCTCTCTGTCTCTGTCCCGCCCTTTTCTCACCTTCTCCCTCTCCCTCTCGGTCTCAGTGAGTGTCTCCTGCAGCCCGAGCCTCTCGGTGGCCGACAGCTGACCCTCCTGCTCGAGCCGCAGCAGCTCGTCTTTGAGGGCGGTCAGTTCAGCCTCCAGCTCCGCCCGCTCTGACTGCAACACCGCCCGCTCGGCCGCCAGCTGAGGGAGGGTGGATGGTCAGAGGAGGGTCGAAATTGAGTGGGCTGAAGGAAATGATGGAAAGAAATATGGCTGAAGCTCCAAGCCATGACAGGTCTGTGCCAATCAATTGATGGCTGAGATATATTGTCCCTTGCCTTAAAAATGCAATGGTGGCGTTGTACGCATCGTATATCGAACTTCTGCCGGGTGTCATTTTTACATAATTGAACAATGACGGCAGGGCTCAAGACACTGAGTTTGAATACTAAACGGATCATATCAGCGCGCTCGGTCCCACAGCGAGCACTGCAGCTTTTTCGCCGGCCTCTCTCACTAACCTGTTGAACCATTTGGTTCAGGTCCATCTTGTCCACGCCGAGGCCCTCGTTGAGGTTCTGTATTTTCAGCAGGGCGTCCCGCAGCGCTGCCTCGTCGGTCTTCAGTCGGGCCACCTGAGTCTCCAGCTCGCCTGGATGGCAGTTTATTATCTGGGTGAGTCTCACTAGGACTACCGATCATGTGTTGGGAAGAAATATACAAGATGATGCCCAGGTTTGAAAGTTGACTTGAAGTATCACGTCTTGGTAGCATTACCATGAAAAGTGTAAGTTCAAAAATTAACGACACACCAGTGTCATCATGGATTGCATCCACACTTTTAGCTACATCTTTTCTGTATTTTCTCCCCGTTATCCAGCTCTTTATGTTCTTTCCTCCCTTGTCCTCTCACCTTTCTCCAGCTCCGTTTTCCTGCGCGCGTCGTCCAGCTCTGTGTTACTCTGTGCCAGCACCTCCAGCTCGAGCCGAGCCGAGTGAAGCTCCTCCTTCAGGGAGACGACCGACTGGCGCAGCTGGCCGGCGCGGGTATCCCGCTCCGACAGCTGGCCCTGGCTGTCCGCGCACAGGGCAGGTTAGAGGTCATATTAAAGGGTCAGAGGGTCAAGCATCAATTAGCAGAGGCGTTTCGCGTCGGATGTCATGGACGCATAATGATCCCACTGTTGACGCACCTCGTGAACACTGAACACCAAGTCACACGCTCATACGAATCCCAACGAAGAGTCGACTGACGGGGAATCATAAGGTCACGTGTCACAGGTCGCCATTAGCCGATCTAAACACGCCGAGTCTCACCATTCGTCCAGCTGGGCCTTGAGCCGCTCCATCTCGGCGCTGAGGTAGAGCTTGTCGCCCTCCAGCGCGTCCTTCTGCTTCTGCAGCTCGGTGAAACTGGCCTGCAGCGTGTCCGCCTCCCCGTTCAGCGCCTCCACCTGCCGGGACGGCAAAGGCGTCAGCTTCCGTAGAAGCGAATGAACATGATAATCGTCTGATGCGTGGTTACGATTAACGGGTAAAGGTCCGGATGTTGGGCGTGTACTGGGATGCCTTTTTTAAGATCACGGTTTGATTATTTTGAGCAGATAGATTCGCTTGATTTCTGTCAACACTATTCACAGAAGATGCAGCATTGCCACTGCGCGAAAGAAATTTAGGTATTGCAACCAACAAAATCACGTTGTGCAGTCAGTCAAATACTTAAAAGTCGACTTCGCTTTCCTCCCTCATCAGCTGCGCGTTTTGTATGCCCTGTCTGTACCAATCACCTGAGCGTTCAGCGCTGTCCTGGCCCGCTCCAGCTGCTCCCTCTCGGCGGCGGCCGTCTCCAGCTGCAGCCGGCGCCGCTCCAGCTCGCGGCGCGCCGCCTCCCGCTGCTGCTCCGTCTCCTGCAGCTGGTCGCGCGCCTCCTGCAGCTGCCGCTCCAGCTGCTGCAGCTGCTCGTCGGACGTCTCACAGCGCCGCCGCAGCTGCGACAGCTGCTCGCCGCTGGCCGTCAGCTTCACCTGCGGCGGCGGGAGCGGTTACAGACGGACTCAGACGGGATTCGTGTAACCCAGAACAACGCAAGGCGCTACAGGTCAATGAATCAGAGTATAAAGCTCAGCAACGCTCTCCTGGCCTGGCAAGGCATGGATGCAATGGGCAAGCACTGGGGATAAAATGAATGATACTGATCATTTGTTGCTGTTCGCAAGCTCAAGGCAGCCCTCAGGATAACCGGAGCCATTCCGCCTCGCGGATACTCCGCCACTGCCGCCGGTCCTCTCTTAGCGACTACATCTGTTGTATGCCCACAACCAGTGTGCTTGGCGTGCGGCACTAGGGAGAGTATTGTGATGTGGACTACGGAGTTTGGGCCAGGGCCAGGAGTGACGTCATGCCCGCCATTTGGGCGCAGTTGCAGTTCGCTCCGCATCCGCTAGGTGGCGCGCGTCGCATTGGTGTCAGATTGCAAAGCTTATTGCGAGCTACCGTCCGGCAGCGTTGAAGTCTCCCCATACCGATAACGTTATAGTGGGGGTAATGTGTCAAGTTCTGTAATCAAAACAAAACATAGTCGTGTGGATTCTACGCATGGGTTGAGAGAGTGAATGTTGCGATGAAACTAACATGGTTTTCACCAGTTCCAACATACTAGTCAGGCCATTTTTGGTTATTTAGTTATCTTTGCGCAGTGGCGATACAGTAACCAATGAGGTTTATCCGAGGTGCTGTTATTGCTAGTTGAAAACTTTACCCAATACCCCGCCTGGACGACGTGAAATACCGTCGGCCAAGGCAATGTTTGGATGGCCTCACGAGGCCTATTCAGATACAATTGAATGGTGGAAAAAACTGAAGTGAAGCTCCGATGGTAGTAGCCTGGAACATCGCACTATACATTGGAATCGCTGGGAGCTCACACACATAGATATTGCGGGTTCCCAAGGAACTTTTCACAGATTTCCCAGCCTCCCCCAACGTGCCGTTTTTATCCTAGTACACTCAATTCTTCCAACTTCCAAATACGCCCTACACACGTGCAGCATACCAGACGACCCCTTGGCGACACCTTGGCTCAATCCCCCTCCATTCTCCACCCACCTGCAGTTCGTGGGTCTGCAGCTGCCTCTTGTTGAGCACCGCCTGGACGGCAGTCACTGCGCTGTCGGCCATCGTAACGGCAGGAGCCGGCGAGCCGGGCCGCGGCGGTCGGCCGGGAGTCCTGGGGACAGACAGTGCGCGGCCGTGAATAACTACACACATGTCGTCTGACTGACAGCGGTGGGAGGGTGGTATTGAGAGACGGCGGGTCGAGTTGAAGTGACAAACAGTGAATTTTCTCCAGATTCCGCGGGGTTGTAACTATTCGCTGACGATATTGGTCCGACTAAAGTTATGCAAGATAATGTCCTTCAAAGCATAGTCAAACGGTCGTCCTCATCTTTATTAAACGCAACGATATTATAGTCCATCCCACATGTAAATAACATCGTTCTATGAGTTACTCGAGTACCAGCCTCTGATGCTTCAAGATGGAATAAGCCCGATGTCCGCAGTTGTGCAATTACGACGCATTACATTAATGTAGTAACCGTGTCGAGGTCGGTCATTGGTCTCACCGTAAACACAGCGCGGGTTCAATGCCATGTGCGTGTCGCAATGGCCGGCCAGCCACTGTGTTATGTCAACAGACCACCGCACAAACACAAGTGATCGGCGCACACGGGTCAGACCGGGAGAGATTTGTGTGGACAAATCCCGAGATCGCTCGTCCGAGATCGTTAGGCCACAGGGGGAGAAATGGGACCGGTGATGGTGGGTCGATTCACTTCAATGTGTTTGGCTAGTGAGCTAAAATACATTAACAGGTGGAAGCATTTCGCAAAACGGGTGATGTTTGATCATGTTTTTAAGTTTGATTGAAGAGCTTCGTCTGTGCAGTATTTCGTTGGACGTTTCCCTTGCCCATATATCCTCTTTAACCTCTATCTCTCTCCCTCCCCTCCCTCTCTCTCTCACCTGACCACGGCGGACGCCTGCACGGTGACCGGCAGGGCGGCGTCCCTCTCGGCCTCCTCCTCCATCCCTCTCTCCCTCCCCTCCCTCTCCCTCACCTGATCACGGCGGACGCCTGCACGGTGACCGGCAGGGCGGCGTCCCTCTCTGCCTCCTCCATCTCTCTCCCTCCATCCTCCCTCACCTGACCACGGCTGACGCCTGCACTGTGACCGGCAGGGCGGCGTCCCTCTCTGCCTCCTCGGCGGGCCGCTCGGCGTCCTCTACCACCAGCTGGGCCACCTGACGGACGGCGGCGGAGAGCAGCTCGTGCTCCTCGGCCAGCTGCTGACGCGAGGTGAGACGGCGAGCCTGCTCGGCGGCGTCCAGCTCCTGACAGTGAGGGATACGCATGAGGGTCAGGCACAGCAGAAACCCCTGTAACCCACCAAACTCGTGACCGCATAGTCACAGGTCACATAAATCTCAGAAACACCAGCGGAAGCACAGCAGCAGTGAATTCCTGCTGGTCAGATCACGTCGTATGGTGAGGCCGTTTCGAATGCATCCAGGGACAACTGAACTGTTCCGAAGTTATCATTAAGTCGACATATCTGCTAGGTTGTGAGGCAAATAAGTGAATGCAGATCGATGGGATGTTTTCGTTAGATCGCGGTCACTCCCGACACAGACCAGCCGGGCAGGCAAATAACGGCCAAACCGACATCAAACACGCATGTTAACAGTGTCGGTGCCCTCTGATGAAGAAACAAGCCGCTTGTTATTTATGTAAAACACCAGTTATACAGACATGCAGAAAAAACGTACCAGTGAGTTGATGGTCTTCTTTAGAGAAACGATCTCCTGTTCCTTTTCGGTGCGGTTTTCGCGGAAGGCCTCAACCTGTTGGGAGTGATGAACAAATTAAACAATAAACCGCCGTTGGAAATTCATATCAACACAACAGCTTTCGTGTGGAGCGCAAATGTATAAGGATTAGGTATATTTATTACCTACTCATACCTATATGGGAACGCCAAGAGCCGTACCGAACTGATGTTACGAAGTTTTGAATGCTGAACCCAACGTTGGTAAAGGTCCTCGAATCTGCCGGACTACATGCAGCTCATAACAACGATGGTGAATCCGGCAGTGACCGAATTTCCTTCCACACCTTACCTGCATAGTCAGATCTCTGATCTTGTTCTCCAGTTCTCGTTTCTTGTTCCTGAAGTCAGTTTGCTGTTTCTGCATCTCCTCCAGCCTCTCCAGCACGTTCACACTGGTCACAGAGACGATCGCCGTCTGGGGAGTGAGCAAGTGGGTACATAGTTCAATCCGCGGGAGAAGAAGACAAGAGAGGCGGGTCGGACCGGGGGCCGAAGGGCCAGGAAGCTAGTGGTTGGCACACGGCCTCAAGGGTCAGACATGCTCACTGCGGCTCTAATTGCCCCCCCCCCCTAAAAGCCCCTCAAATCAGTGACATTGTATACCTACACTCGTACATACAAGGAAGTACATTCGAGTGAGGAAGCACTGCAAAAGACGTTAACGAGATCACTTCTGCGTACCGTGGCTTGACAGGACTGAAGATCAAGCCACTGACAAATGTAAACGGTAGGTTCGGGGCAGCGAAACTCGTTAGTGCGTGATTGACAGACGAAACCTTGGCGATTCGACAAGCACTGAGTGCACAAGTACGATGATATGTAAAACGACTTAATGTAGATTCAGTCTGCCCACAGGCACATATATTTTTTAGGCTGAAAAGGTACAGACCTAAACGACGAGGTAGAATAGTCCGCTACACGATAGTCCCTAACACAATCACTGCCAACACCTTAGAGTTAGTCATTGTTAAAAACTGCGTCTAAGTCAACACACGTTAAGGTTTGCCACCTGATAGTGCACTTGAACAGAAAGGCATCACGGAAATGTCACGAGGACACTGTATCAAGGCTGACCAGAGATATTCGCAATGGCACTTAAGTGGCAAAAACGGACTGTGAAAGACGACAGCGCAGAAGAGACTGATATCAAAGATTCAATATTACTTGCGTACATCGCGCAATATTTGCTCGTAGCGTATGAGGCGAGATATGCTCTGTATGCCCAAGGAGAAAAAGAGGATACCGTTTCTGGTCGGTGAAGGCACTCTGCGCTATTTTAACCCTCGCCGGCCGAGGGGGGGGGGGGCGGGTGCCGCCCCCCCATAGGGTTTTTTCGCGATAGCTCCGAACACGCTGGCGATAGAGAGCTGAAACTTGGCATACCTGACCTTTGATCCAAGCCGGATCTTTTGACACCAACCGCATTTTCGGGTCAGGTCAGGTCACTGACCTATGACGTCATAAGTGAACCTCTGCACGGTCTTCAGATGTCGCAACTTCGCAACGCCCTCACTGCCAGAGGAGATGTCACAGGGAAATGAAACTTGCAGGATCTAGTATCCATTATGAGTCCCACAACTTGTATATCTCGGATTTTTCCTAAAGGTCATATGAGGTCAGGTCATTTTCGTGACCTCACCATTATAAGTCAATGGGGAAAAATTCAAACTGCTATTCTGGCGCCGGGAACGATCTCCAACTATCTCGAGCACACAGAATCGTGATTTGATGCACTCCTTGCAAGGTTAGATGCGTCACTTTTGCAATGTTGACCTTGCGTGATGTCATTTATGACGTCATCAAGGTCATATTAGTTTTTCGTCAATAACTCTTGATCAAATTGAGCTAGCGAGTCGGGAAAGCCACCAATGGACTCAGGAAGACCTGCCGAATCGAATGATATGCGACATGACCTCTTTCGACCAACTTCGTGACCTGGGGGTGCTGACCTGACCTTGACCTGAGGTCAACACCCCAAGTTGACCTGACCCGGACAAAAAGTATATCATTCGACGCGCCTGAGCGAGACGAACACGATGCTGCCAAAATCGGCGCGCTGCGGCCGTTTTTTGCGAAGTTATTCACCAAAAACTGAACCGTACCTTGGGGCACTTGACCTGACCTCAGAGGTCACCGGTTGACCTAGGACCTTAAAATCGGATACCAATCTCTGCGTCTCGTAACGGCGCACACGCTCGTTTTTTCCGCGACGCGCTAGCTCCACCAGGGGCGAAACGGCGAGGGGGGGGGTCGTACCCGCCCCCCCCCCCCCCCCCCTCGGCCGGCGCGTATGTAGAAAACCAATAGGTCCGGCGAGGGTTAAGTAATTGTTATTACAGCGCAACGAGTTCTTAAAACATCGAGGTGACAGGGCATGTAAGGAATAGCAGAAACTCTCCGGTATAACTGTCATTAGCCTGAAACTGATACGTCTCCAAACACATGCCAAATTTTAAAGGGAAACTAACCTCTGCAGCCGGAGTGGCCGCCGCTGCCGGCTCTCCGCCAGCCGCTGCCGTCGCTACCGCTACCGCAGGCAGGGCGGGCGGGGTGACCATGGCACAGGCGTCAGCAGCTCGGCGCGCGGTGCGGGTCACCTCGGCGCCGACCCGGCCCAGGTCCCGCTCGGTACTGAGTCGGAGGTCGCCGAACTGCCGGCGCAGAGCCACCACCTCCTTCCAGAGCCGCAGCAGCCGGCCGTGCTCGGCGGTGTAGTACTCGGTGAACGTCTGCGGAGGAGAGGGAAGATGAGGGGATGGAAAGAGTGGTGGTAGGGGAACAGCGGCTAGCAAGAGTATGGAGCTCCGGCGGACTTGTTTTGAAACAATATAGTCTTTGATATGTTATATAGTATATACATTACTGGTTTTGATTGCGCAATTTGATTTAATTGAGTTGATCGCTAGACAAAGTTGAGACATCTGGTTTTCGTCGCATCAATATCCGAAATTCAAATAGATGAAAACTTAAGGGTTTAAAAAAGAATCAGCAAAATAAGCTCTGCACGTCAACAGTAGCCTAACAGAACGACGTTCCGGCACCAGACGCTATCCACCGACTTCAATGATGTAAATACAGATATTACGCCAGTTGGGAGCACAACCTGCAAAACCAGGCCGAGGCAAGGGACAAAAGGGGTGGCTAAGCCAGCAGAATCGCCGCACACACGATAGCATACGAGGAATAAAAATAAAAAGGCGTTACGAGCCACAGAAAACAATCTCTAGATCGCTCTGTCGATCTTTGGCACCCAAAAACCAGTCAGAGTTGGCACATTTGCGGTGAAAATAGTGTCCATCGTCTCAGGTGGTCTTATCTTCATGTCAGTAACTCAGTCTCGAGAAGTCATCGTTGACACCAAATCACACACTGAGTGTTTACAATGCCCCGGTGGCTGCGGCAAAAACCTGAGAGGAAACACCCACCACACGCCTCTATTCCCGGCGCTATCCGACCTCAGTGCACACCCACCACGAAACAAAAACGGGCGAAAGAACACGTGAAATTAGGACCATAGCCAGCGAAAATAGCCTGAACGGTTCCAAGAATCATTTTGTTCCTTTCATTGGTAGCCAGTTTATCTTACTCTCCAACGGAACCACTAGTTTTTCCGTTTCGCAAACTGTTCATCCCTCCAATATCCCCTTCAGGCCTTCATCTTCTCAACAGTTTCCCTCTATGCCTCTGCCTTTTGAGCCGTCCTCTCCATCCTCTCTCCCCCCTCTCTGACCTGCTCCTCCTGCCTCCAGCCGGCCTCCTTGGTCTCCAGCTCCTCCCCTCCTCCCTCTCTCCTTCTCTGACCCGTTCCTCCTGCCTCCAGCCGGCCTCCTTGGTCTCCCCCCTCCTCCCTCTCTCCCTCCCCTCCCCCTCTGACCTGTTCCTCCTGCCTCCAGCCGGCCCCATTGGTCTCCCCCTCTCTCCCTCCCTTTCCCTCCTCTACCCCTCTGACCTGCTCCTCCTGCCCCCAGTCGGCCCCATTGGTCTCCCCCTCTCTCCCTCCCTTCCCCCACTCTGACCTGTTCCTCCTGCCTCCAGCCGATTTCCTTGGTCTCCCTCCCCTCCTCCCTCCTCTCTCCTCTGACCTGTTCCTCCTGCCTCCAGCCGGCCTCCTTGGTCTCCAGCTCCTCCCCTCCCCTCCCCTCCTCCCTCTCTCCTTCTCTGACCTGTTCCTCCTGCCTCCAGCCGGCCTCCTTGGTCTCCAGCTCCTCCCCTCCCCTCCCCTCCTCCCTCTCTCCTTCTCTGACCTGTTCCTCCTGCCTCCAGCCGGCCTCCTTGGTCTCCAGCTCCTCCCGCAGCCGCTGCCAGTCGGCCGTCAGCTGCTGGATCTCCGAGGTGAGCGCCTCGTTACCCTCCTGGGCCGCGTCCAGCTGCTCCCGGAGCAGCGAGTTCACCTCCGACAGAGTAACGCACCTGTGATACAGGGTAGGGGAGGGGTCACAGAGGGCAGGGTAGGGGTAAGGCGTCCAGCTGCCTCAGACAGCGTCACACACCTGTGACACAGGGTAGGGGTAAGACGTCCAGCTGCTCTCGGAGCAGCGAGTTGACCTCAGACAGCGTCACACACCTATGACGTATAGAGGGGTCATAGGAAAATCTATAAAAAAATCGAGACTGCAATATGTCGGGCAGCCGTTCAATAAATCAAATCTTAACGCATCATCAACATATGTCCTCGCCATATAAGCACTACTTAGCGGAGCGCCTGTGCACACAACCATCCACTCATTCATTTGGACTATATTTCTTAGAAGTCCAGCGAGCTGACCTGTTCTCCGCCTCCTCCAGTCGGATGAGCGCCGTCTCCAGGTCGGTCGGGTCCCCCTCCTGTCCTGACCGCTCTGTCCGCTCCCGCTGCTCTGTCCTCTCCCCCGGTGACGTGGTCCGGTCCCCTGCCGAGCGGGACTCGAGCTCCAGACATCGCTGACGGTACTGCTGCACCTGAGAGTCAGGCCAGGGGTCAGGTCAGATGAGTCCAGCTCCAGACACACACCGCTGACGGTACTACTGCACCTGCGGGTTAGTTCGGGTCAGTCTAACTTTAAACATGCTGCACCTGTGGCCTGGGTCACGTCAGAGGTCAGAGGTCAGAGGTCAGAAGTCGGGCGAGGTCAGGTGAAGGAAAGATACCTATATGTAGATAGGCCAAACTTTAAAGATCAAACATGACTGGCACTATTGTTGCACCAGTGACGACAAGCAGGACAATATTTGCTGAGTCTCTGTTCAGCAGTACCCATTGTGGCTTCTGTAGGATCCTCGTAACTTTGAGCAGGACAAAACTTCATGCTGGATATGTAAAGCATTAAAAAACAAACACACCGCTATGCGGATAGTTGCCGGCAGTAACACTAAACTCGCCTGGTTGCAGCTCAGTAATGTATTTACGTTGATTGCGTGACGGTAACGAGGCTAAACGATCTCAAAATCGCGCCACTTCTCACTGCTATGGTCAACATTGTGGGTATTGGCTGACTAAACAGACGTAAATGAGGCGATATACCACCACAAAATGTGACACAAGGCTCCTGAATGGCTCACATGTTATCGCTACGGCACTGGATAAAATGGAGTGTCTTACAGTGGTGGTTGATGTGAATAATGAATTTTGAAGAGATAGTGGGCTAGTTCGAAACGCCGGTGATCGTTATCTGTTCAAAGTTCGATGACAGAAAAAGAAAGAAAGAAAAATATAATTTATCCAATAAAAGGGAGTAAAAGAGCACAAGGTTCAGGTTTTTGCTGGGTACCACGCTGATGGTAAACCATGTGTGGTCGAATTCCATGGAATAAGCCGAGCTCAGCTGGGTATCAATCATGAGGGTACCACGGACCGACCGTGTCATCGACAGGCGTCGAGAGGGGCAGAGCACGACCCCGCACGTGGCGACCACGTCCCGGTGGCGTGCTCGGGGACGTGCCCGGGCCGTGATCGGCACGGGACGGTGGCTGGGTTAGATGGTGACGGACGGGGGACGGGCTAGGGGAGTCCGGCTGATGGGGCCGAATATCAAAGCTGGGGTTCCCTAGAGCAAGACAACGATCCTATCATCCTAGCACCCCATAAATTTGAAATTACACCGGTGACCTGCAGAATAAAATCCGCGAATCCTTCACTCGATCAATTCTTTTGTAAGAAACCAAGCTACATTTGTAACTTATTAGCATTACCTATCGCTTTTGAAGAGAAATAATTAGGGAAAGTTCAAGCCAAATATGCATTAAGTCGTATGCGTTACAAGCAGTGTGATTGAAAACCAGCGTGCACCTTGGACCGACGCTGGCAGCTGGGGCGGTGATCGGCAATGCTACTCAGTTTCCCAGGAGGCAGTCAGACGTCCCCTGTAACCAAAGCCCGCGGTCCAAAGGACAAGCGATGACGTCCAGGCATTGACGTCAAGGAGGGCCTTGCAGTGGGGAATGCGGGAATACAAAATATTCTGCAATACCCGAACAAAGTCCGTTGCTAAAAATGTCGGCAAATGTGGCCAAGAGCCAACTGCCATTTGACTACACTTCTTGCACAATGTTTCGCTGCGACGGGATTCATAAAAACGTCGCATGCAACCATCTTAGAGAAAACTTTACAATAATTGAGGAAAAAACCGTATTCGGCTTTTATGAGAACGCTCAAAACTTCAAAAATTTAAACACTAAATAAAAAATGAATTCTTCTCTAACGCCCAGTCATCCACCGCAAAAAAAAAAAAACACCAGCAAAACAGCAGACGGTCTGAGCCATCAACATTCAACAGTAACAGCTAACACCCCACCGCTGTTACTACCACACCGCCTCAGCCGTATTTGCATGTTTCCTGGAAGCGCCCTCCGGGCAGCGGTAGCGCCGGGACGCGGCTGATGACATTCTGTGCACACCACCCGGAGTCGGACGTCATCAACGACGAGCAAACACAGAGCGGGGTGAGCACGTGGTGACAGGTCACGAGGTCAGCGCGTGGTGACTTCGTGAAAGAAGAGAGACGGACTGGGTAGCGGCAGCGGTATGAATGATTGGTTCGATCGTGACGATCGCTGGTGCTGGTGTGGTAGAGAGACATGACGGTGGAGGAAAGGAAAGGGAGGGGAAAAGAGTGAGAAAAGGATGGAGGGAGAGAGAAAGAAAGAGAGGGGAGAGGGGGAAGAGAAGAAGGATGAGAGCAAGAAGTGTAATTATTTCTGGTCTATTACAAAAGACGCCACTTGATCGCAATTGAAAAATGACCTTTGGCAGACATCTCCACCGAGGGCGGGTACATCGGCCAGGAGTCTCCACTCTGGAAAGTTTCGTCAGCGCGATCTGCGTGTCTGAACTGTGTTACGTCAGACGGCACACGCACTCCGACGCACGCACACACGGTCCCCCGGGGCCAGAGGGCGGCCGTAGACGGGACGCAGAGGGCTGGGATGAGTCACACCGCGCTCATGGCGCCGGGTCAGAGGTCAGAGGTCAAAGGTCAAACGATCCCCAGACTGCGGTCGTCAGGCGGAATTGGGGCAGTGCGTGCCGATTGGGTAATCTGGGCAGATATGTTGATGGAGGAACCCAAAAATAATAATTAATGAAGACAGTTTAGTAGGAATTTGAATTTTGAAACCGAGCAAATATCAATACAGTGGAAAAATACATAGCCGCATGCACTTTTGCCTACATAAGTAACGAATAACCAAAATATGAAAAAGATGCGCATTCATGTCTTTTTGCAGCTTCTTCATTTAACCATTCCGTATCAGCACCAGACGTTTCATCAGCGATGAACCATGCTCTTGAACGTTTACTCAACATCTTACTCATGCTTCGCCTTTATCACCGCCAGATCGCCGTAAACATATTGTTAGTACGGACACAGTGACAGCCGTACGCAATGAAATCATCGCCCTACCACGCGAGTTGTGCCATCATGCCCTGCGTCGTCACCGTCCCGTGAATGAGATATCTCACGGTAAAAACGACCCATCAACCATGGACAAAGTCTACGCACTACCCTCGGGGGCACGGCTTCCGCACAACGCCCACGAGAAGGAAATGAGTCAGATACCTGGCGAGAGACACAGCAGGTGACGAACGGCGCAGAGCTATCAGTGGAACTCAGACTCAGCCCCAGAAATGGGTCACGGACAGGTTATCTGAGAATGGAATAGTCAGTGATATCTGAGTCAGGCAGACGTGCGCGGGGAGGTAATACGAGGAATATCGGTGACCTGCGAGGCTCCTGCTGAACAAAACTGAAGTACTCGCCGTTACTGGGATTTGTGGTCGCTCGACGTCCATATTCAATCCTCGTTTGGAAATTTGCACTCATTGGTACGCTCAGCGACAACCGAATAAACTAAGAATTGAAACGAATCGACCTAAAATTCGTCCATAGGTCAGTCCACAGAGTGCTACCGGGTCACAGTCTGCGGTCTTCAGTCTGTGGTGAGTTCATTGGGTCCAGCACCCTTTGCGCAGTTTCTCGGTACCCCCTCCTTTCACAGGCCGCCAGGCAAGGGTCGGAGCGGCTTCACAGAAGGACCCTGAATTGGAAACACGCGGAACTGCGCCCAACAAAAACCCAAGGCTATCTGCTGCGCTTGGACTCGGATAAGGGATCAGAACAGGCAGGCCAAAGTCGAGCTACTGGTGACAGCTGAAACTGGACCTAATTCTGGTGTGTTGTTCGCGCATTTTCAATTATATTTCTATTGATTCCATAACTATGGTTTGGGTATAATAAAACCCCATAAAACACGGAACTTCAAGAGCTGTAGCTGCCGTCTTGCTAACTGTTGACATAAACCAATAGAGCGCAAAACCTTACATCTAAGATAGAGACACAGCCTCCCTGATATACCAATGGGTTTTTGTACAGTGGTCATCGGCGAGATATACCAAAATGATACCCCTTCTGTCGAACTGAGGACAGTCACCCCGAGCCCCACTGTCGACTTCAGATCCCACGCAGTGCGTATTCTTAGAGAGGGGAGTCTGGAGGCCATGACCTTTGTGTGCTGTCTGAGAATCCTCATCATTCTCTCGTCCAAGAACAGAACATAATGTGAGATAACTGTAGTGCAAGGTTGGGGAGCAACGTACGGACAGACATCATACCGCTAACCAGCAAGCAGTTTGTGGTTATTTCCAGAACTTCCCGCACTAGCGGCGTTGCCTTTGCCCACTGGCCCGGATGAGGGGCCACGCCGACCACTGACCCTCGTAAGAGGTCACCACTGACCTTGGCCTGCAGTTTGGTGACCATCTGCGCCTGCTGCCGCTGCGCCTCCTGGTAGGCGGCTAGTCGGCGACGGAAGGTGTAGCTCTCGTCCTGGCGCCAGCCGCCCGACCGCAGACCGCCGCCCTAAGAGACATAGAACGGTCAGGACTTAGGTTCACCGACCAGCAACAACACACACGGTGGTGAGGGAGAATCAGGGCAGTGCTATACGCCACCCACTCACCAGAAGAGCTGGACTTTACCCAGCACGACACCCAGACAGCGAGATAATTAATTCAGGCCACTTCCGTTCATGTTTCTTGCACAATCGTTAAGTGTTTGCGACAAAAGTAAGATATAATTATAGCAGATCAAAGGCATGAGCTATTTTAGCGTGGCAATGCTAAAATAGCTTCTACATAGAATGTGTTGTAACTGTGTAGAAGCAAAACGGTACACACGCCTTTTGCTAGAAGGTTTTATTTCGGTTATACGGATGTGGGCAATCTATGAATATCAGACAGTTCTTATATTTAGCGCTGGGCTCCTCTATTGACCCACTTACTCACACGGCATACCGGGCGGTGACGAAGACAAACAACAGTCTCAGACACGCAGGGCCGCTTAGCGCTATAATTACAGTTTGCCAGACAGGCCAGACGGCGTAATGTACCGCGGCGTGGGGCCGAGGACTAATATAAACGTAATCATAGCCAACTATTCCACCCGGCCGTCAGCGGGGCGTTAACAGCGCCAAATTAGAACTAACTGACTGCAGTTGCACACATCTAAGGAGGCAACTATTCAGATAGTAGCAGCATGTAACGTTATTTACCAATAAGGCCCCAGAGAGTATCAGACTATCAGAGGTGTCTTGCTAGATCAGAGACCAGTACCACACACGGGTCACCAAGGTGATACTGGGTTACTGTGGTCCTCCACTGGGCCACGGAGGTCACTAAGGTCACTTACCGGGTCAGGGAGCAGCGGCCGGCCGGGGTCACCACCCGGCGACCCCGGGTCACGAGCAGGGGTCAGCGGGTCAAACTCTGCCGACGGCTCGTCAGTGGCGGCCGGAGGCATCAGCTGATCCAGCTGCGGGTCAGGGCAGGTCAGGTCATTTCCATTGTTTTAACCAATCAGTTTAAGTCATCTTGGCAATCAGCGCGGAATGTTTTCATGTTGTTCACAGGCAATGTTAGTTGTACGAAACAGTGACCGTTATAATTCCCCCGTTATGCATTCCCTGCATCATTTTTGCAGTATGCATTATGTCATAATAGCTGTGTTTTCCACTGGCTGCACAGAAGCAGATATGCGGACTACTTTGATGTGAAAATATGCATATGCGTAAGTGTCGCCACTTAATTATCACCACTCCAACCGCATAAACCAAACAAAAACAGAGTCGCCCGTTTGAAGGACAAGCCACTACGCACCGCAGCTGCAAGTGGCGTAAATAGTCGGCGCGTAACATCACGCGGCACTTTCAGCTCATCATTTCAAGGTCAGTACTGACAGATTGCATCAATAGCCATCAAAAATTATCCGCAAACGATCCATCATATAGTTACACACAGCGATGGACCCGGACGAATTAAATTTGCGGAGGGGCTCTAAACGGGTACCTCGGGCCAGAGATCAAGGCCAGAGGCCGGATTTAGCCTGATCGTCTGTCAGTTTTGCACAAGGTCCAGTGCTAATTGGTGAGGGGTGATATTTATGAATCTTTGTCATCACTCAGACAGCAATACTGCGCGTATAGAGTATATATCCGGGGACGTCAGGCGGTACAATATGACGGGTTATGAGTTGGAGCCATGGTAAGCGATGCTGTTGTGTGGAGCAGATGTAGTCCGTGCTGACGCGTGTTTCATAGGTCAACAGGACCAGGGAGCGGGCCTGCTCTGGTCCACTGCTGTCTGGTCAGTGGCCAGACAGGATACAGCTTGGTGTTTGTATCGATCAGGTTCTAGCGACCTAAGAGCAACGCCAGAGCATGAGGACCAGTACTTCTCCACTGGAGCTGGCACTACACTTGTCTCGTCTCAAGACGCTGAGTGCCGGCACACTGTGGTCCGCGGAGGGGCCGCTGTCGGTTCTTTGCCGGCCTCAGGAAGTCGGTTTTATCCTCCCCCACCTGTCCAGTAATGGCGTATCGACCAAGCCTCGGCCCGACCGGAGCCAGAGGCGGTGACGGCGGAAGTGACGGCGACACTTCAGAGGCTGACGGTGTGGGTGCTGCGTGCTCTAGGGAGGGATTGAATGCGCACAGCGACAGGACAGGCAGTGGTGAGGGAGGAGTCCTCACAGGTGTCTGGTATAGAATAAGCCGGAGAAGGACATGGTTAATGCACCTTTATCAGGTACCACTTAATGAATGACATAGTGTAACAAGAATTTATTGAGATCCAAGGGCGGCCGTTTTCAAAAGATTAAGAAGTAAAACACTTAAAGACACCCAACCTGCCGGATATAAAACTACGGAGGTCGTCTACAGCGTATCCGCTCGTTTGAGCGCGTCTGTGTGTGCGTGTTTCCCAATGTGGACGCTCGCGGTGGTGGGGTGTGAAACAAATAGTCCGTTCGCGGGTCCCAGGTGACCACGGGCCCGCCTCAGCGCCCCAGGGATCGCTCAACGTCGCCGCAACGCTAACCAGACAGCACGCCACAGACACAGCGACACAAAAATAACCCAGTCGACCTACCGACGCATACTTGAAAGTTTGATTGATCCATCAGCTATTTCGGTGATTAATGAGTGTCACAACTCACAAGAATCCTGTTTTGAATAAGGCATTTTTCTTATCAAAATACATCTACAGAAATACTGGCACGTCGTGGGAAAATACTGAAACAAAAAAAAAATCAACACCGGTCACCGAAATAATAAAACATGTTCAAATATTCGCACACATTACAGTTTACACTCTTGTATTAGCATCGACTACTGACCCGTTCGCTGAGTGCGTTGTATTTGATGCCCAGGTCATCTCTATCCGCCCGTGAAGCCGACAGCATATCCTGCACAGAGGCTAGGTCACGCTGGAGCGCCGCGTTGGTCCGCTGGGAACAGAGGTCAAGGTCAGGTGGTGTTCCTGATAACACGGGTGATATGCCGCTGAGAATAGGATTCAGGTCGGATGGTGTGGTGATAGTAACAGAGCACAACAGATATCATAATGTGGGATGCAGTCTTTACTCAAATTAGACAGCCCGACAGGGACTAAACCCGGCAACTAACGATGATGAAATAATATATCGTGAACTAAGTCGAACATGTGTTTTCATTGTATTAGATCAGATGCTGATAAAATGCATCTTACAGTTGTATCTATCTGTTATGTGTAAAAACTTAGTGAAAATAAATCGCTATCGCAGAGAGAATTTCCAGGGCACCAAACATCGGTCCCAAACCGGTACCAGCCGGCTAAAACCGGTAGCGCGCCAATACATTTTCCCCAAATACACATTGTCAGCAGAGCCGCGGCCGTTTCGACTTTGGTTCCTGATAGTAAAAAGGCGGCCACAGCCGCGGCGGTTGCGGCAGCGTTCGGATAATTTCCATCGCAAACACGGTGCGGTGTGCAGAGTGCCGGCTGACGACAGAGGGGCCAGTTTGGGGGCGGCAGGGGCCGCCCAGGGGTGGAGGGGGCTGCACTGAGGGATGAAGAAACCACACTAGGGAGCCGGGGAGGGGACGATATGGGACGGCGGAGAGTCGGTGGATGACTAGAGTGGGTAGGATAACAGGGAGCTAGTTGGTGTGTGAGGGACAGAGGTCTATCAGGGAATGGCCCGTTCACTCTGATTCGTTCGTCGAACGTCACCAGCTGGACGTTAGACCTAAAAAGGAGAGTACCTAGAGACTGCTATTGATGACTAGATAATGGATATTAAGGCGATGTCAACGATAGATGCATCGAAAAAAAAACAATGAAATAGACCAGACTGTATTTATCGGTCTGGATTTTGACCAGAAGTCACATGAGGGCTGCTGTCAACATCGGAGGTGTCCTCTAACCCGTACATGTTTATGTTCTGACAGCAGCGCAGCGGAATGGGCAGGGTGGTAATCGAAAACAACAGCAACAAACTGTGGAATGTGGTGATAATACGAAGCTTTCACTTGCTCAGCTGCTCTCGAAAAACGTGAAAAACGTGGTACTTGTCGGATATCCGTTTTATGGAAGTTTATGTCAGAATTCAGAAAAGGTGTTCCTTAGCTTCAGCACTAGGGAATAAAGCAGCCTTCACTGCAATGCATACCGGATCAAGAGCTTTCACCCGCTGCAGGAAATTTGGAGTCAGCGGCTAATTAATAAAAACATATAACACATATCCATACAAAACTAAGGGAAAAAGGCCTGTGTGAGAATCATCATCAAAGACTCAGTCATTCAGCAAACCCACCCAGCCCTCACCTCCAGCCTGGCCACTCGACCAGCCTCATCCATGTCCTCCTCGACGGGCGGCTCCCGGCGGCGGACTCCACCCTGCGCCGCCCCCGCCCCCGCCGGCAGAGACTGGCCGCCCCCGCCCTGAGACAGGGCAGCCTCGGCGCGGGCCAGCGGCGCCGGGCGGGCGGGCCGCGACTCGAGGGTGATTCGACCGGCAGCACCGCGATCTGTGGGATCTGCGAGACGAGGGGAGAGGGGAAGTCAGTTGGAGGCATAGGAAGGTAATGGACGAAAAGAGTCTGGAAAAGACGCAAAAAAAGAGAATGAAATATAAAACTTTGGATGAAAAAGCTCACATCTGCTTAACGAATTAATATCGTATAAAAATTAAATGCATTAGGCAAAATCGGGAAGGAATACAACAACGTTCTAAAGGTGAAAATAAACGGAACAAACATCCTTAGTTGAGCTGTACAGCCGTCATACATCTAATCGATGAGTCAGTCACGTACTCCAAAATTACATCACGAGGTCGGTAGTATCAGAACCACACATATGTTCCCAATTACACACAGGTTACGACCATGAGGGTCAAGATGTGTTCATCCCCGTGAAATTCGCAGCAGCTCTCAGGAAATGATAATCTAAGGAAATGATAATAATCAGCTATCAATTCCGCCAGAACCCACCAGCGATGTCAGTAGATAGATGTCAATAGATGTCAGTAGATGTGTCGTCGAGTGCGCTGTGCATCCCATCATTGCAGCACTTTTCAGCGTTTTTGGCAAACTGGCCGCTGACGAAGCTTTTTCGCCAGCTGAGCGTGAAACACTTTACCGAGATGCGTGATCACTGGCTGGACTGGCCACGTGATCGATACAAGGTCCAGAGAGCGTGGCAAAAGCTCAAGTGAACGGCGCAGTGGTTTTCTGTTCTTTTTTAGAAGTTGCGCTTGCGACGCATTAGAAAATTTATTGTTATTTGGACAGCATATGCATTCCTATGCATTATGGAGGCAGCATTCGAAAAATGTGAGAAAATGTTATCCTTCTAATTAAAAGGATATCTGATCATTGTTAGTGAATGACTATTTTTCGTTTTCTAAAAAAAAAAAACGATACCATAAAAACATAGCATAACCCAGTTTGTTTTTTGTCCGTCCTCAGGGTACATTGAACTAGTTTTCTCACTACCTACTCTACTCAGCAATCACAAAAAGACCCTTTTAGAAGTCTTTCTAACTCCAGCACCGGAGCGCACTAGCTTAGCGAAAGCTCTCCATCAAACTTATGACATTGATATTGCTCTGAATGGGTCCAACAAGTGCACTTGTGAATTAGGCCGCATGATGACGACAGACGAATTGATAACGGTTATCATCATTTTGCAGAACGCGCGCAATGCGATACGGTGGTACACCTAGCTCAACAATCGATGCTGTGTTATCTCGGCGACTTGTTCCTCCAAAAGACTGATGGTACTGCGTCGATTCAGCTACGCAGCAGCAATAAATCGAAAACATCTCGTGGCACGTGTCAATAAGGAACAGCCAGCCCCCGCTGAATTCTGCTGTCCTGTTGCTACAGATTCCGTTCAAACACCGAAGGTTAGCGTTAGCAACAACCAGACTCGCGTCGAAACATCCACCCAGTAACTGACCCAATTCGCCCCCCCCCCTTCCCCAACACTTTTGACTATCGATGGGTTATAAACACAACACCCTGTCGGCAGTGTGACTCATGTGACCGGGCAGTCAGTAGCAGCCCGGAAACCACGAGCGACCTCCCAAAGTCACATTGACGATGACATTGGAGAGTCTCCCAGCGATGTTTTCCATGTGGCGGCTCTCAGGCGCGGGGCCAAACCGGGTTGGTACGATATGTTTGCCGGCCACTGGGAGTTGCAGGAATGTGATTGATAAACAAAAACAACTGGAGAGGCTCTTGAAAGAGGCAAACAAGTTCAAAAGTCAAGATGATCGAAATAGAAACAAAATATCGATGTAAAACGGGCAGAGCAAAAGTACGTCATTTTGAACTGACCACTTTATGCACAAGGTCTCTCGATTGTGATCCAGTGATAGCCTTGGTGATCTAGCATTGACCTCAGTGACCCAGTGATGACCTCAATGACCCAGTGATGACCTCAGTGGCTCAGCATTGACCTCGTTGACCCAGCACTGACCTCTGAAGGTGACCCGTCGGGACTCGTCCTGTTCTCCCAGTCGCCGGTAAGCAGAGTCCTCCTCCGCCGACCTTCCCGCCTTGGTTGGGTAACTGGGGTCGGCTCCCACCCGTACCGTGTGCTCCCTCTGCACAGGACAGCCGTCCGCGGCGGGGGGCGTGGCGTCTTCAGAGGCCTGCTCATGCAGCGGCCGCTTCACCTGCGGGCAGAGAGGCAGCTGTTATGGGAAACTGATCTCACAGAAAATATCTCATAAAAATAACCCGAGTGGAAATATTCGGCGATATTAAACTTCTCGGCCAGAGAACAGACACCCCAGGAATTTCAGACTATCCTGTCAGTTTTAGCCAGTCAGGGCGCCAACGAACACGTATTTCGTCACAGCATTGTGCGTGCACCGTCCAGCGTCTACTCCGCACTGTCTCGAGAAAGTCATCAAAAGGCAAACAGTCGATCACAACCAGCCCGCGTGTACGACTGCGCGGCTCGGTGAGTCATCTCCAAACGGCGTGGAAAACTGGGAAAGTGAGTGTCCAAGTCCAGGGACCGGTCAGACAGACGGCCGGCGGTTACATCAGTCAGAGGTCACAGGTCGATCAGAGGTCGGCCGGGCGGCGCACAGGTCAGGGGGCAGCCGGAAAACTGGCGCAGTCAGCAGTCGCGGATCAGATTCCGACAATTCGCTCGCCATACCGACCAGTCGCCAAGCGAGCGAAGATTGCCGTCGTCAGACCTAGCAACTGGATAAAACTGGATATTTCCTGAGACTGATCAAAATTTGAATCGTCTAGCATGAGATTGATCGGCAATTAATGCGACTCACATCCGTGTTCTCTATCCTCAGGACGAACCTTAGCCAGGCGAAGTCAGTGAGGGGACCGGCCGTGCGCGGCTATGTGCGCACGTTAAACTTTGGACTCTAAAATTCTGCCATAGAACCGGAATTGCGCGATCGGAGGGTAGAGGGCAGGGTCAGCGCAACACCAGTTGGGGGAGGTTTGGTCAATGGTTGTCATTTTTAGCACATGCCATTTTTGGCAACCATGTGCTAAAAATGACAACGCTATCAGCTATTTTTAGCAACGATGAAGCCGATTTCACTCCTCAGCGAGGAAATCACGATTTTGGAAATACAAGCACTGATTTTGGAAAAGAAGTGCTGCCACCTGGTGCAAGAAGAAGAAACCAGCTTTAATATGGCCGTTGTTTGTATGGTAGTCCAACGTTGAAGTATACCCTTTTTTGTGGCCCGAAGTTGGAACTTTAAATTGAAGCATCCGAAAATGATCGATATTGATCGAAATCATGATGTTGATGAAAAAAATAATATGTTAAGTTGAGAGAGGAGGCCATTTTATCCAGATGCGGTGGTTTACTTCTTGAAATTATTTTTGCTTACGACGACTGCCATGTAATGAGGGATAATTAGCAGCCGTCATTAGCAAAAATAATTTCAAGAAGTAAACTACTGCATCTGGATAAAATGGCCTCCTCTCTCAACTTAAAATATTATTTTTTTCATCAACATCATGTTTTCGATCAATATCGATCATTTTCGGATGCTTCAATTTTAAGTTCCAACTTCAGGCCACAAAACAAACTACCATACAAATAACAGGCATATTAAAGCTGGATTCTTCGTCTTGCACCAGGTGGCAGCACTTCTTTTCCAAAATCAGTGTTTATCTTTCCAAAATCTTCATTTCCTCGCTGAGGAGTGAAATCGGCCTCATCGTTGTCAAAAATAGCAGAATCGTTGTCATTTTTAGCACGTGTGACAAAAATAGCACGTGCTAAAAATGACAACGATTGACCAAACCTCCCCCGACTGACACGCTTCGCTTAGCGGGGGCTCTGTCCTTGTAAATCCTTCCAATCAAAAGGTTCGGACTAAATAAAAAAAACTATCCTCATACTCGACATATTGCAATGTCCGGGATGATGGTCGCCTCATCAGACGACTGGTGAATGGTCCGCTACTTGGAGCATCGACCAGCCTCTCCGGGGTCACCGTTTGAGAGACTGGGCAGCCTGTCCTATCGGAGCACTTCCGTCCCAATATGAGCCGGTTCAGCCACTGCGGCGAGGACGCCGGTGGTCGACAGTCCAATGTCTCACTAATTGTTTCATCCCACGGCCATGAAATGGTCGTAGGTACTAAACGGAAAGGGCATAACCCCCTCCCAAGGAAAACAAGATGCAACCAGTAACTATAAAAGCTGTCAAAAGGAAGTGGAAATTCATAATGTAGCGTAGCTCCTCGAATCATTATGAGGTGGAATAGGTGGGAAATAAAAATGCAAGCTAGGTTGCTTGATCACGTCAACAAAACCGTATGGTAGGAGGTCGAAGCTAACATGCAATAATCAGCCTCCTCTGTCCGATGTATGCAGGACGTAACGTAGGTATGCCATGAGGGGCCAGGGCAATTATAAACAAAGAATATTAAAACTTTTCGGACGGCGATTCAAATCATCAAATCAAAATAGAAAACAGCTCGGCTATGTCGTTTTCTCCGAGCTACTCCAAACAGAGACGACCCATCACGTCCCACATGACCGCAGCATAGCAGCACAGTCGGCAGCCGGCAGTCCCCACGGCAACCGGCGTCCTCCGGAGTGGAGGACCGGCGCTCAGTGGTCCTCCGATAGCCAGCTGATCGACTGGCTGATGAAAACCAGCGTCCAATAAACACCAGAACCAGCAGCGACCGCCCCGCCCCCGCCCCGCCTAGACCGCCGCGCCGCTCCTCGGGAGACTTCTCATGGCAGTGCGCAGTACGATGCATCCAAAGAACGACTGTGGGGACCCGAAAATGTTGGCGGGGAGAAGGCATGCAACATGCAACATGCAACATGCATGCAACTTGAATGTTTTACGGTGTCCGTTTTTTTTTTCTCTCGTAAAACGCAGGATGAATTGATAACTATTACCTACTGAAATTCATACCTACCTGATATCTGGCATCAATCTTCGTAGGATATGACTCACACCAATTGTGGTTTAAATAAGAGCGTCTAGCGTTTGGACAAGATATTGACAAACTGCCTTATCCGAGATGTTAAAAAGATTAAAAAAATCTGGCAATGTAGGCCTCAAAGCAGCACCTCAATGCTGAATGCTGCTCTTATTTTTCTAATATAAGTAAGTTTTCCCCAAATATCGGCCACCGGCGGCAGGACTTTGCCCTGGGGTAGACTCCTCCCTCCTGGATCAGCCAGTGTGCAGCTGATGTATGTAAATAGGAGAGCACCGACCTTTGGACCTTTGTTCAAACTGCGCCAGGGATTCCGACAGTTCCGTTCTGCATTACACGTCCATGACCCATCGTCCACTGTGCCACAAGCATAATTTTAGCACCACGTCCATGCAACCATTAACTTTTGCTCAACATTTTTAGCAACTCTTGCGTTGGAGTTTCATACACCCGGAATTCTGGAGAAGTTATGACGTCGCAGTTCGGGGTAAACGGGTCACGTGAACTCAGCTCGACGGGGCGACTTTTGGACTCGGCGCGGTGGTCGGTCACTCGATAGGAGAGTGACGGTCACTCAGTAGGGGAGTGACTGTCACTCAATAGGGGAATGACGCGTCAATTTTGATAAGGGACGGTCGGCCACTCGATTTAAAAGGCGCATGACGAGAAGAGAGTGACGTACGAATACGACCGATCACTTCTGGATGATACGATCACACTGTTCGGGGTTTGCTAGCCAGTCGCGATGAAGGGATCAGGGGCGATTGGAACGGAGCATCAAGGTGGTCAGTGGTCACATAAGACAGAATGGTCAAAAAGTCGAGAGTGACACCGCTTACGTAGGCATGAGGAGTACCCGCGAAAGCGTGGACGCAAATGGCCAGTTGTATTGCATCAGGTGGAAAATGTCGGTAGTCCATATAATGCATAGCAGAAAGCCCAGAAGATGACACACTTCAGGGTCGCATCTCTAAGAAGGTGGCACATTTGGAGCTGTAACAGATCGTACAAAATTCACCAGAGCGGGGTACAGAAAACGAGAGCAGATGGAGCAGCTTCCCGGTAGCGGGACTGTTCAAAATCTGACAGAAAACAGGACGAACTATTTCAGCCACCCAGTTACTCGCCAGCTTTGCGTCAACCGAAGGGATTTGAGCAGGAATTATGAACCAATTAACACTGATAAAACGCTTAGAAACAGTAGCAGGTCACAAATGTGTGTTCACATCAGCCTTGTAATACACTAATACAGACATGTGTTATCCGCATTAAAACCGATTGCTTCAAAAGACTTCATGTGATGTAAACACACATTTTGTCTACTGATGCCCCATAGAGGGTGCCGTAACACACTGTTTTGCGGTCATATTACCCTTTCTCTTTCCGGATGAGGTGTAAAATGTTACACCCATGCAAAGTTAAAGTTCCCTAAAGCCAGCAGAGCATGCAAATGCAGGTCATAGAAAATGTTGCACTTTGCAGCTTGCGATTCAAAAAACAGGATTTCATTTAGACCATGCGTAACATTAAGTAACTATAACAACATTACGCATAATCAAAAATGCGTTATCAGTCTGTGACGGGAGTGCTGAGACGAGCGTCTGGTCACCTGTCAATTTTCAATCCAATAAATTGGTCTGATTAGAACGCAATCAGCTGTTTGTCCCATTTCGTGCAAGTCGCCAGGGCACGCGCAGCCGTTGGCGAGTCCAGCGCACCACTCCCGAGACCGCACTGGGACCACGGCCCCGGGCGTGCCTCCCTGTCCCTCTCCGTTACTACCGAATCGATCGCTGGTGTCCACGTGCCGGTTCCACCCTCACCGCCGCCTAGCAACGGACGTCATGGATGCCTGAACAGATAAACACACGGCAACGAAGTGTGGCAACGGGGCAGGCGACATCAGCTGCACGTGGATAGGGTGCAGAGGAGGTAGAACCATGGGTGATATCACCAGCAACACTGACAACATGTCGGGACAGAGTCGAAGCTGTACCTGGAGTTACTTTATTGGGGTTATTAATCAACGGATCGTACTGTTGATGAGTAAGGGTAGCGCTATCTAGAAAACGACGTGCAATTACAAAAGATCCTGCCATACCGTATTGATTTCGACTTAGCACTAAACGCTTGATTAATTGCTAATTTGCTGATTGTGTTGGTATGGATGCAACACTCTTGTGTGAGCATTAACGAAAGTGCACTGCCTAGTATTTTGATCGGACAACGAGAAACAGGAAACTGGCATTGTTAACATGATAATAAAGCATATCACAGCCTCACTAAGCAAAGAGTGGGCACCACGGAGGCAGTTGATGAGAGAAGTTTGATGCACCTATCTGTGAGATTATATAAAACGGAAGCAGGTGACTGCTAAGTACCTATACCCCGTTGAGCCCCTAGCTCGTGACCGAACCAAACGAAAAATAATGTTACACGTCGATGTTTCGCTCACAAGTTGACAAATCACAGAGCAACTGAGAGGCCCAGACGGGAACGGCACCTCGATAAAAAGGCAAAGAAACGCCCCCGGCAATCGGTGTGGCCTCTTGTTTGTCAAAAATCTGTGGATGCATCTGCTGAGACAGAGGTCTGCGCAAAAACCGGCGATTGGCGGTCGTGAGGCCTTCGGTTGGGGTGTCCGATAGGGTATCGACAGCACAGCACTCCCAGAGGATCCTCTTGGCTGGCTGTGTGGACGGGCCACAAGCGAATCTCAAGTATGGTGGGTGTGTCGCTTGAACAAATATTGCTTTGAAGGGTTGCTCAATGTCCAATGTCGTGAATGGTTTCATGTTGACAGCCGATCGTCAACAACTGATGCATTAGTAGATAAGTGATGCAATTGCAGACAAAAGGGATAAACGTATTTTCTTTAACTGAGGCGGACAAATCAGCACCACCCATTTCGTAGATGAAATGCTGAAGAGACAGCACATAATTGGAGAAAAAAGGTCGTCCGGTTAAAAAGAAAGTTTTTTTTTCGGGCAGTGAATATCTGGAGCCAACGTTTTCACCAGCAGTCCAATAAACGATTTATGTAAGCATGGGCCATGGAGCACACACTTTATATAACGTAGCGTCTAAGCTCCATTCAAAAGCCGCCTCAAAACGAAGGGCCACATGTTGTAAAACGTGACCGGGTCGATGGATGAATGTAGAATGTGGTCACCAGCATGCCGTTACGTCATTTGAACCATGGGTCAACGTTCACTTGAACTTGGAGAACCTCTCCGATATCGCTGGTAATTTCAGGTGTGCCAACGAACTGGTCATGAGTAGGAACGAACTTTGCCCTCACCGATAGGAAGGTCGTACGTAGATCAAGTTTAGTTTGTTTATTTGTTTCTGTCGCCACTCAGAGAGCTGTTCCGCTTCCCGGTAATTAAATCTACCGGATAGAGCGTTACTATGGCTTCATCAAGAACGTGGAAGGCCCAACTCACACATTAGACGAAGTTATTTCGCCTCTGGTCTTTGGTTTCCCCCATCTAAATGGCCCTACTCGTAAAGTCAATAGAACAAACTTATCTCCAGTGTACCCTCTGACAGCCCCACCTGTTTACGAGTCCCTCCCTCTGCGGTCAGTCACCCCGTCTCACCTGCAGCCCGATCCCCTCCTGCTCTGCCTGCTCCTCCTCTCGCTCTACCCGCTCGCTGCAGTCGGAGGATCGCGGCTGGTACGGCGGTGGTCGGTCCCGCTGCGGCGGCGGTACCGGCGGCGTACCGCCCAGCGGGTCGTGCTCGCGGTACGGTGGGGCCGGCCGGTACCTCAGCGCCAGTACCGGTACCCCCGGTGAAGGTACAGTCGCCGCTGGTACCCCCGGCACAGCTCCGGCCGCCTCCCAGACGCGCTGGCAGTGCCGCTGAGCCGCCCGAAGCTGATCGGCGCCCACGGACAGACCGTCGTCGTTTTCGTCGTTGTCGTCGTCCGTCACCGCGTCGACGGTGTCGTCAGAGCTGGGGGAACTGTCGGCGCGGCCGTACATCCCTCCTCCTCCTCCGCCGCCAACGACGGTTGTAGCTGAGAGGCGAGGAGTTCTCGGCAGGCTCGGCCGGCGGACCGGCGTCAGGTTTGTCTGAAGTTGGACCGCCGGAATTGTGACGGAGTTCCGCTGAGAGAGAGGTGTGGATGCATCGCCGGTACGTTCCAGACAGACTGGATCGTCCGGGAGCATCAGACCCAGCACACTGCCGCGACTTCTCGGCTCGTTACCGCGAACTGCAGCCACCGTGTCATGGTATCCACTCGTGATATCACGGTGTCCGCTCGTGATGTCACTGTAGTCAGTTGTGCTGTCACCTCCGACGGCTGGGAGACGGTCTAGGTTCGCTTCGTCCTGAGAACGCCGTCCGACGGCTGCGCCGCCGTCATGCCTCTCGGCAGCTACAGGCGGAGCACGAACACGCTGGGTCCATCCCCCTTCCATCTCTCTAGCCTCATGCGTCTCCACTTCGTGCCGGGTTTCATTTGTCGCTTCTGTCACATCCTCTTCCTCCACTCGTTCTCCGTGCCGCTCGGTGCCGGTCTTGACGGCCAGGTGGTGCAACTCCTCCGTACTCCGGCCACTGGAGCGGTACCCCTGGTCGGGCGACACGGGCGGGTCGCGCTCCGCCTCCACCCTCTCTGCTCCCGTCGCAGACACGCTCAACACACTGCCCAGGAAGTCATCCAGAGAGGCGGCCGGAGGACCTGCACGGGCCGACGCTGGGCCCTCGGCGGCGGCGGAGCGATCGGAGCTGGATCCGCGCTTCCATCGCCAGCTCCAGCCGAGTCGGGTGCCAGACCCAGATCGGCGGCCAGACTGGAGTGTCTCCGTCGAGCCGGACCTCCTCCATGTCTCCTCGCGGTGACACAGGTCCTCTGCCGAGCCGACGGCGCCGCGCGCCAGTCCTCCCCGTCGGTCCGAGCTCTCAGCGCCGGTTGGAGCGCGCGGACCCGGCGAGGAGGGCGCCTCGTAGAGCGTCTCACAGCTCTCCGCACGGCGCGGCGGGGTATCCCGAGTCTGTCGACGACGGCGGAGGCTAAACCGGTCACTGCGCCGCCGCGAGTCGTGCTTGATGTAGGAGAGACGCGGCTCCGGAGATGCCGCCCGCTGGATGTCCGTGAACGGGGCCGGAGCCGCGGCCCCAGCACTCTCTGAACGGTCCCTGTCCTTCCAGAATCGAGCGAACTTCTTCATGGCTGTGTGACTTCGGAGTTTAGGCCATTCGCATGGTTCTGATCAGCCCAGGCAGCTTTGCATGTCGTGATTTTTAATCTGTCTCAAAAATTGGATTAACCCGAGCAACAGCGGTGTTGAATGAGGATTAGACGTCGTTCCGACACTAATCCACCATTCCACGCTGCTCTGTTCAACAGGTGAATGGGTCACAAATCCTCTCACTCGCCGAAACCAAGTAAGTCAGTCGACCATTGAGCGACTGGCCGCCTCGGGCAGTCGAGCAAATGGGGATCGACACGCCAGCTGGTCACTTTGGGGCTCCCCAGCGACCCACTCCACCCAGTTCTATTGACCCTCAACCCGCCATCGACCCCGGTCGTTGGTCGTTAACGTAGCTGTGAAACAGTCCACACAACGTTAACGCGGCGGAAACGACCCGCCAGCTTCGAGGTGGCCAGAGGTGATGAAGCACTCCTACAGCAGAGTTCAACACCGTGAGGTCCTTAACGGAATGCAATGTTCCGGGTCTTATAATCACCAGCCATCCGCTTTTCCACCGCTATTCACCAGCGTACACCACAGTTCACTTAAGCACTGTTCAACGTCATCACCAAAGAGCAATCGGAAGCCAGTCACCCAAATAAAATCCCTCTGGGCTCCGGCACTACTAGAATTCACCACTGTCCCTCAGTAAGTGCGCCACAACACCACACACCACACAATCCTTCCCTGGAGCACCTGTACCGCCCAACTCGCCGAGCCAGCACCGCGGCACCAACTGCACCCGGCTCCCCGGGGCCGCCCGACTGTCCCCGCAGACCTGCCGTCGGTGCCGACGAGGGGAGGGTGCCGCGTCGCAAGGGAGCGTACCAGTCACTGGCAGTGTCCCCTCGCGGGAGTCCAGCTGTATCGATACGGCAGGTGGGGAGAGACCGACTCGGCCGCGGTGCGGTAATTATTCGCTCAGACCGATCGGCGAGGTGGAATTCCAATGAGCGGAGACATGCGACAGGACTGGTCCCATACCGGAAGTCATTGAAGATGTATGAGTAAAATCGGAGGGGCGTGATTTAATAAGATTGACATCGACCGAAAAGGAAAACGACATATCGCGGCAAAGTCGGGTTCGGGAATAAATTTTCAGTTACCAAACATGATATTCATATCTGTCAAACATGAAAAAAATCCGAATGACGATAGATTATGTCGTCCAACATGGTATGTTTAAACACACCAAGAACGATAGGGAACATGGATAATACATAAGTACGTAGCAAGCTCCTTCAGTGGACTTTGGCGGGCACAGTGAACAAAATAATTGCACGCCATGCCCACTGTTTATATCTGGTGCCCAGACCACTGACGCCAGTTCTGCAGCAGTGCAACATGGCATCGCTCTCCGCGCTGAACTTTGAATCACGTGCGGCGGTGAACTGGACTTTGAACCGTTCTCCATCAGGGGAGCGACCTGTCACGGCCGATTGCAATCTCAAGACGGAGCCCGGCTTCGGCAGAATTTTGCAGATAGGTCGTGGTACGGAACCGCTCGTTTCAAAGAGCAGAGCGCAATGTGCAATGCGCATGTTCTGAGGGAGCGTTCGCAAGAAGAACGTCTTAAACTATCCATTATTGATCCGTTTCACCGTGTTCATTGTTCAATTCAAATGTCCTACTATTTCTTATGTAATGCGCGTCACGTTTTACGATCTTTACGTCCATGTGAGAGTCCAAGAGGGTCGGTTCCTTCCGCTCCTCATTTTCCGCCCTCCCGCTAACATCTGCCCCTCCCCGCGTGGCTACCACCCGGCGCGTGCTTCACGAGCAGTGTGCGTACAATACCGACCTTTGACCGTTCCGCCAGTTCCCCCTCCCCCCCCCCCCTATAGTCTGGCTCAGTCCGGTCCACACTCCACGGGCAGGGGTGCTGTGAACTGTCCACTCCCCCTCACCAGGACAGGACAGATTGCAGCAGTAATGGAAGACAAACGCCAGAGCCACGCCAGTTGACCCAGTAGTGAATGGCAACGGATAGAATCATCGTTATGAGCATGCTACGCTGAGCACGTATTATAAATGCAGGGAGCGGCGCTCATTGGTGCCGGGTTTTATAACCATCGCCACGACGAAGAGGCATAGTCTACAGGGCTAATGTAGGGGATGCATTGCCGGTGGATCCTGAACTCGGCCCCGAGATAACCGACGTTAAATTATCAAATATAGTACATGTGTCTGCGCCCCCAAGTTACCACCTCTCGGATCCGATAGCGTGGACGGTGGAGCCGGGTCAAAACCGCAAAACCGGTGCTCACAGACGACCCTCGAGAGCGGAGACGTCTTTTTGCCACTCGTACTCGCATCTCCGACATTTCGTGAGAGCACGCGTACCACATGGGTACATAGTGCGACACCTGTACCTGCTTCTCAGACCATGAAATTAGGCAATGATGTTCGGATAAATATATAAGTCTCCAGGACTAAAATTATTTGAAGTCAACCAAAAAAGCCCAGCTTGCATACACGTATCCGGATTCATCCATTGACATTGCAGTTATTGACTCCTTTCCCCAGAACTTTGCGCACTAGCCTACTCAGCAACACTCTTCAACTCCTGGCGGGGAGGGAGAGGAGCGGTAACGTTCAGCGATTTGACCGCCCAGGAGGTCTCAGCTGAGGCAGCATTACGTCACCCACCGCACCACTCATAGCCGCAGCGACAATCTGTCACCGGGTGGTCAGCGCTGACCGCCGCCGCCTCAGCGCTGACCAGCTGACCTCTCAGCGCTGCTGGGGGTAGCAGGGCGGCGGCAGGGTGTTCCCAGTCCCAGTCACGTGCCGCTCGCACATGGCCCTCCCGAAAAACGTGACCGACCGGGTGACGGTCAGAGGCCGGCCGTCATGACTCGAGGGACGCCAAATATACCAGCTCGCCGGCTGGACGGCGGTTATCAGCCGCGGTGGCTCGGTCAAACAGAGTCCCGGTCACATGAGGTCATGATTCAGGGTCAGATCCCGGAGCAGGTATGGACACGGGTAAGAAACGGATATGGGCAACGTCTGGAGATGGAGTTGATGAAAAAAAAACGAAACATCCGATGGGACGAAAGTACCGATAGATGTTTCGGATGAACGACCGAGATAACATTTGGTTCTAATGCAGCGCAAGGTGTTTTCCGTAAAGACGATATAAATAATCACCAGAATAAGTCGTTTTCTGTGCAGCCGTGACGATAGATCATGTGTTGCTCAGTCGCCAGTGTGATATCTGTACGAGCTGCAATACCGACCGTTATCAAACCATCGTGAGATGCTATCCCGGTCACCGACTTGGTCAGGTCAGAGTTCCCGACGATAGTAGATTCCATATACGTCATCAGGCTCGATACCGCCGCTGTGACACTTCTCTCACAGAACACCCAAGCTGGTGATGATGATATGTATTTGGTCGCCTCCACTACAAGGTTACATGGCGAGCATACAACGCACTATGCACCAGCAGCCGTTCCGTGCTGCGTTTTATGAGCTAGTGACGAATCACTACAGAGAGACACCACCCACCCCACGCACGTCGTAGTAAAGCAGAATATATTAAAACATGGTAACAAGTCGAGTATCATAGAGCACATGGGGCCGCAGTCAACAATGTGCTGGCCAGTGGCCGCGAATCGCATTTTCGTGGAAATTAGCTCGCGCTCGCTTGGCACAAGCAGAGTTTTGTTGGATGACCTGTCATCTTTCGCTCACAAACAGTCAGACACACGGTGAGATCTTTGGTAAATCGCCATCCACAGCGCAAGGTCGTCCTCACTTCATAGAATAAATGTGGCACACAACAACGATATGGAAACACAAACACCCTCAGCGAGGACCTCACACACATGGCGAGTTAGAAAATAGCTCAAACATAACACAGCACCTGAACATAAGCTCAGCTAAGCACCGGACACACCTATTATTGATATGACTTGCATCTTGAACCCCTTGCACAGCTCATGAGTTATGGAATTATGCCCCTCTGGATGAAAAAAGAGAATGAGAGAAGCTCTTGAGCCCATCGAATGGCACGACGTGACAGCGCGTTACTTTCAGCGCTATCGACAGAAGTATTCAGCATCGCCCCAAATTGAAGACAGGGTCTGTTCAGAGCTGCGTTCGACCCTCGCCCCCGCAGCTCTCAGAGGCGTTGCTCCTCCTCGAGGCCAGCGAACCACTCCCCGGCGTCGCGGAACTGGCCCGACAGGAAGTCGAACTGGTCGACGGTGCGTCCGCCGCAGAGCAGGCCCCGCACCAGCCGCCACGGCAGCAGGACGTGGTTCCACAGCAGGAACGGCAGCGGGTCGCACAGCGAGAACACCGCCTCCCGGCCGCGCAGCAGCAGCTTGACGGTGCGCGCCAGCTCGGCGAGCAGCTGGCGCGGCTGCGGCAGCAGCTCGGCCAGCCGCAGCAGCTGCGCGTAGCCGCTGTAGACGCAGAGCGGCCGGCGCGGCTCGGAGAAGACGTCCACGGCCGGCGGCTGCGCGCCGTCCGCCAGCAGCGCCGACAGCACGCCCATCCGACCGTCCACGAACAGCAGCGACAGGTCGGCGCACGGCTTACAGAACACGGGCAGGTAGGTGGTGCGCCGGCCCTCCGGCACCGTCTTCAGGAAGCGGAAGGTGAACGCGCCGGACACCTCGCGCGGCAGCCGGCGGAAGAACTGCACCGCCCACTGCTCCATCTCCCGGCTGCGAACCATGTGAAGGGTGCGTCCCTCGCGGCACGCCACCGAGGCCAGCACGCGGTTCTTGCGCACCACCACCGTCAGGAGGTACTGGTAGCCGGCGGTGAACTTGGCCACCACCCACGTGCTGCCCGAGGCGTCGCCAATGACGCCGTCGTACTTCTGCTGCGCCTCGGAGAGGCTGCGCGGCATCGGCAGCCATTTGGACTCGTGCAGCCCGTTGGGTGCCGCCGTCTTCGCCATGAAGCGGCAGCCGTTGATGACGATCACGCCGCGCCGGTAGAGACCGGCCACGCGCGCCATGTCCCGGACCTTGTAATACATCACCGTCTCCATGTTCATGCTCTCCACCAGCTCGTAGAACCGGTCCAGGCGCACAAAGTCAGCCACGTGCGGCAGCGGCACGCACAGGCAGCTGACGCCAATCCGCGAGAGCTGGCTGGCCGCCGCCGACTCGGCCTCCACCTCCTTGGGCGCCGGCATCGGCAGGAAAAAGTCCACCCGGTAGTCGATGGCGATGCGGTGCAGCTCGCGCGCGTAGTGCTGCGGCGCCGTGCGCGGGCACGGCACCTGGATCACCCGGTCGACGCAGGTGGAGTAGAACGCCAGCGTGGCCAGGCAGCTGCGCGGGCTCACCACCACCACGCGGAAGCCCTCCTTGCGGAGCGCGCGCGCCACGTGCAGTCCCTGCGGCCGGTGGCCGCCGCTGACCAGCACCGTACGCGTCATGTGGTACGGACCGGCCAGCGCGCTCCGTGAGCTCAGCCACAGCTCGTGCAGCCATTTGAGAGGCAGCGCGATGGACAGACAGGAGAGGCAGCCGACCAGCGCCGGCCACCAGGTGCAGGCGACCAGGCCGAGCAGGAGCGCCGTGCGGCCCAGCCGGCCGGCCGTCCGCCACAGCCACTCCCTGTGAGCGTCCTCCATCACCGGCAGATTGATGGCGCCGACGGGCTCAGCGATCGGGCATCGTACCCGCGCCCGCTCGGCAGACCCCGGCACACACGTGATGAGACCGGCACGACCCACTCGGAACACTCAGCCCGACCTCCTCAGCTGACGGCGACGGCGCAGGACTGCCGGACGTCGCCGCCAGTGCTGCCAGATGGAGAAGGCTGTAATCCTCCAGATCAGTTACAAAAATCCTCCAGATTCCTCCAAATCCCATTGGCGGATCCAGATAGGCGGTCTTGGACGCTGCGGGAGGGCATATCTCCGAAAAGGTTTCTCCAAATTCTAAAAACTCATCGGATTTCGATTCCTTTCGCACTGCTGTGTAGTTTAAAAGATGCTTTTTTATAATAAAAGTTGTTTAGTTTTCGTTTTATCCTTGAAAAAAAAAACGAAAATTTTCTTCGATTTTGGACGCTGCAGGAGGGGGGGGGGGGGGGAATTTGCGCCAAATGTCCCCCTTTGATCCGCCAGTAGTTCGGTACCTTCAAAAACATATGGTACAATCGTACACGAAATAGGAACAAATAGTCACCATGATATTCGTGGATATAGCTACAGACTGAGACATTCCAGTCTCACGGTGATAAAGGGCAGTGATATATCCTAACGGGTAGGGTGAAGCTGGGCAGGAAAATGTCTTTTGAGTCTTGAACGCGTTGTATTTTTCCATGAAATTGAATATATTAATCGGGTGACAAATCCTCCAGATTTTCCTCCAGAATCAAAAATCCTCCAAACGCGAAATTTGTCCGCAAATAGAGTTCAAAATCCTCCAGATTTGCGGAAATCCTCCAAATCTGGCAGCACTGGTCGCCGCCCGTCGGCGGTGTACCCGCGGACCAGCCAGCTGGCTGCTGCCGACCGCAGCGCCACCCCATCGGCGGCGGAGAAACAGCGAACTACTGAGGAGAGATCGAAGGAATGCATCCGGATCGCGAGATAGGAGGGTACGGGAGAAAAACCTGACCTAGTTGAACACCCTACTGAGAAAGCGACGAATTGAAGGCTGAGAAACATATTTGCCTCGAACCAACATCCGGGCAAAGTCAACAGTCAAGTCAACAGTAGGTAGCGTAAACGCTGGCATTTTCTTCAGCCAGCTGTATTTGATCAGACAGACCTCAGTCGTTTGCTTCAGGTGTTGTTTGAAAACATCAGCGTTCAAAACAAAAGAAATCAGACCAAGTGAAACAGCTTGTCGAGTAAATACACCAATTTTCTTGATCGGCTATTGTGTACGAGAAAACGAAAAGAATCGCGAGTAAAACATATTAGGTTTAGTTTTGATAAAGAGTCTAGCCCTCTCAAATTAGCCCAATATTCTTCCGTGACGATTTCTAGTGAGCTACCGAACATTGCCCGCCACTCCTCGGGGGCCCGGGGCTCGTTGCCACTTGGGAACCAAGTTAATTATGACGGTTAATTTTAAGGGGCATGATTTTATTCGGACAGAAATGATTGATATTCGCGATACATATCTTTCAACATAAGCAAAATTCAAGAAGTCCCGAAACTCAGCATGACAAATGCTCAGTAAACCCATCGCTAATGGCGATAGCCCATCGCAGGAACGGCTGCGTGATCTACGGCCTGGCACCCAACCCTTTGCCCCTGCCCCCTCCCCTCACCCTCCCCGCCGCGTCCTTCCATCTGACGGCCGCTGGACCAGTGGTGACATCAGAACGGGCACCGTCCACCGATCACCAATCACCGATCACCAGCGGGTGCGTCACGCCGCCGGCAGCAGCGGGCCGCGTGCAGCGCGCGTGCTCCAAACGGCCAAAGTCGCGCCGGCCGCCGTCACAGGCACCGGCCGTACAGGGGGTCTGTGTTTGGAACGATCGACTGCTGGGCTCAAAGGTCGAACAGCCGCCAACGTCCCGGCGAAGGCAGTGGTCAGCGGTGCAGCTTTGATCTGACGCGGGGACGAATCTGCTAGCGAGGACGGTGTGTGATGGAAGCCTCGGGGGCGGTTTCGGATCGTTTTTCAGTAGGTGGATGTCAATCAATAGAAATCAGCCGATAAGAAATTTTCAAATATGACTGAGCCTTCAGTGGACTTTGGCAGACAATTTTAAAATACATTAGTCGCTGCGTGTCCGAAGGGATCCCAGTTATTTCATACCCAGAAATAAGTGCTGTCATTTTATAAATCATTATGCAAGGGATGTTTCCAAGTTAATCTTTCTCCAGAAGTAACTTGATCAAGTCTGCTCTCAAAAGGGGACGGAGCGCTAGAATAGGTATCAGTTTTGCATGCAACCTCCTTCTACACGTATCTACAGTACCAACCATCCTCATTCCTCACTCCTATCACATCTTCCTGCTCCGGGCTATCCCGCTAGACAACCGATGCAATGGAGTGCAGTTCAAATTGGGAGCATATCCCTCGGTTCTCCGGTGTGACCGTATTGGTGCACCAATCGATGCCCACTGGGCATCGACTAGTGGGCATTGCCCAGAAGTCGATTCATACCATTGTCTCCACCTATCCTCGTATGATAGACCCTGACAGTGTTTCACTGGACATCGCATTTCGCGAGCTGACGTCACAGATTGTGGCAGTGTTGGAGATGGAGTTAGTTGACGTCTCTATGGAAACCCAATTCGACACGTGTGAAGGTGTGATGCAGCATGCTGCTATCGGCCGTGAAACAGGACCCCAATTTGACACGTGTGATAGCAGCGCGCTGGCAGTGACCGTGAAACAGGGTCCCGGAAAGATTCTTAGCGGTTTCTCATTTAGCTCCGTTCCATATTACTCAGGTCCTCAACAAGCGTTACACATGGAGGTCCCAGTTCATTCCCACCAAATGCGTAAACAAGAGTGCTGCGTGGGATATGTGGAAGTCGCACATCATCCCTAGGTTGTCGCAGTCGATTCAAAACAATCGACTCGAATATGTTGTTCGTGGATGAGTCGGTAAGGCCGTCCCTCGAATCCTGCCGGCTGCGGCACGAACTAAATCTTTTGTAGATGACCGTCGAGGACGCCACAAGCGGGACATCGGGAACCGATGTGCATCATCGATGCATACAAATTTATAGGCGATGGAGGCCACAAAGGCATTGGGTTCCAAAAATCGCTAAATGTTCCTTTTGATTTAACAATTTATACTTTGCAAGCTGCAACCCTTTCCTCACCGCCTGGCACCGCGCCGGGCGCCGCACGGCACTGCACCGGGCGCTGCCTTACCGCAGACCATGTGTTGCGGTACAGCATAACTTCAGGCGCTACAACTAGTGCCATCTAGCGACGAGAAAGAAAGCTCAGCCCCGGACGCGTTACGAACCAGCCAGGCGTCATCAATGAAAAATACCACGGCCCACGGGGGCCATCATATGAAATTATTTGCACAGACGCTTGCACAGAATCATACATGACAATGCTTTGAACATTGGGAGATCGTTTCTAGCAACGAACCGGTGCATCACAGCACACACACTTATCGGTACGGTACTCACCGAATGCGGATCTTTGCAGTCTGCAACAAAGGAGCACCTTTTTGAATGGTTTGAAAAGAAGCAGAAAGTATATCAGCGTTAAAACCCTCCAGTAATACCAGGTCTTACACCTTTATTTTATGTCTTCCGACCGTCCGTCTTACAATTCTCAAAGCCTGCAACAGAAATCATTGGATAGGAAAATGAATCAAATAATGCATGCACTGTCGGAAATACTAAGCCACTAAAACAAAAACATAAACAAGTTTTCACTTCGAAAGACTACGCTGTTTCCAATAAGCCACGTTTCCTATCCAATATACAGGGTGTCTCAAAAGTTCGTTCACAGGTACCAGCCATGCTTTTTTGTCAATAATTCTGAATCAACAAGAAATTAACAGTCGAAATTTTGCATGGGCATTGGTGACAACCTTCCTCAAGCAGTCTCATTGTTTTCAAGTGCATTCAACCCTTCATGAGCTCACAAAAAGGGTTCACCTCTGACCATGGGTCAGGCACGAAAATGTAGGTTGCAAAGTCGGGTATGTTGTGAAACTCTCTGTTTCAGGAGTAATGGGAATGGTTAAGTCAGAAATGACACATGGCTAAGTGTCGGCGAGGATGAGTGCAACATGATGATCATCTCATAAAAACGGTGGCTAAAATTTTTGAAGGACGAAACCATGCGAGACTAACGGCGTTTTGAACGACCCTCGCACGACAGCAGACTCGTGTTCCGGAAAGCAGCTGAAAATGCGGTCATAACTATTGAAAACTGGCAAGAAGGTCACAGACAGAGGTTACCCATTTTCAAAAAGTGCAGGTCATCGTAAAATAAAGACAAATTATAATTTAAAATTGTTTATAATATCTATAACGCTAATTTTTGGGAACAATAACACAAAAATCGTCAATGCCAAGGACACCTGACCCTCCAAAAGTGTCAGTTATTGTAAAATTTTATCTAACGAAGTTTCAAGAGGCAGATCTGCAGCGAATAATTTTCTTTTAAACACAAAATCCCGATAAAACCACACGATGGACAGGCTTGGGCCGTATACAAAGCAGAACATCTCCCGAGGAAAACACTCCGCAACCGAGCGAAGGTCTTGGCATGGGGAATGACGAGCGCTTGGAATTTGCAAAATTTGCACAATGTGTCTGAGAAACAGACGTCCGACACATTCTGCTACCATATGATGCGAAAAATTTACTCCTGGCACTTCCCGTTTGTTCAGGACTGGGGTCGTTTTGAAAAGGAAAATGGCGCTTGGGATGTCGGCGCCAGTCATTCATGAAGGAGTTAGCGCCAGAGAATGCCTACAAAATACTCTAGAATGGTGTATTTGCAAGCTGTCGGCTTTCAGGGAAAATCAGATGTTGCCGGGGAGTTAGTCAAAACTAAATCCGACGCAGAAACTGCAGGGGATTCCCCTGCAAGAGCTTGAAAGCTGGTAACCTTTTATCAGCCTCCGGCAGCTGACGGAGCAACAAAAATCGGTATGGGCAATTTTTTTTGGAGATACAGCAAAGGGGTTGGTTTCCAACCTTCTTAATCAGTTGTCAAAGCATGCATATTTGTCTAGTGTACACACAGACACCAAAACCTTATACTTTTGGCCGGTTCTTATATGCTTTATTGGCATGGGAAATGTGTGAACGAACTTTTGAGACACCCTGTACATTATGCAATGCAGACAACCTCCACCCACATACTGCGTACCCGGCCCAAGACAATACTGCGACATATGTAGTGCTATCAAATTAATGGCTCTGGTTCTCACGCCAGTGGACAATAACTTGTCCCACTCATCCCTTAGCGTCCCTTTGGAAGAACAAAAGGACGTTTGCCGACCATTGATTTACTATAATCGGTTTCCACTCAACGGTTTATATAGTGGGCCATGGCACAATGGCGTAATTTTGGCCCTCGAGTCCACGCTATGCCATTAGACATATGGTGTTTTTGAAGGTCTACCGTCTAGGCAAATTGCCAGCTGCGTGGCAGGGAACGATAAAAGACCCCTAGACCCTATGCAAATCAATTAACCTCATATAAACCTCATTGAGGTTTATAATCATGCAAACCTCAAATCAATAAGCCTCACAAAATCTCACGCCTTTTGACTCTTCATAGAAACACAGAGCTCAACAGAAAAATACACTCCGTGAGAAAATTTTCATAGTTTGCAAGGCAGGACCGGCTTGGTGTTTTACGGCTGAAAAAAAATGTATTTAAACCTATTTCACGGCTGAGCAAAATTTATTTACACCGGCCTGCATAAACGCATGCCCCGACTTATAAGCGCATCTAAGCACGATGGCAATAACGCATGACTCGCAGACCTGGGAACATCCCCATGCTGCCGGTCCTGGTAAAATACGCGTCTTGACAAGCGTTCCGTCGCTAGGCGATCTCGGACATGACATCGAACATGTTTGGTGTAGCTTTGAGATGGAAATAGCAGTTCTACGGGCGCTCAAATTGCAAGTGTCAACTTCATCGTTTACATTCTGGAATCAGACATCGCAGAATGGCGTCTAATTTGTGAAACCATAATTCAGCGTGACAGGAAATTAGCGCTCAATCGGCACGGCAGCGGCCGATTTCCCCACAAAAAGCACCGCTTGGAAGTTGGACGACAGTTTGGCGAGTCAGTTCGTCGCTCGTCACTTCCCCCACTGCGAACTGGTGCGAAACGCGGGAAGGGGGTGATGACACTAACTAACTGAACGGGCTGGGTACGCTTCTAATCAGCCACGGATAATGGAGCAAACATTTCCTACAAACTAACGCATCTCCGCGTAGGGATTGTAACTTTTTGTCCCGTATCCTGTAGTAACGAAAGCTTTCCAAAAGCTACAGACACATTCCCACCAGCCACTTTACCTTCCCATTAACCACTTTACTGTTTTCCACTTATCGTCCGTTCCATCCCTCCCGAACCGCAGCGCCGTCAGGGACCGTCAAAAATCGTTACCGACCCCTGTGAGCCGTCCGTCGGCAGCAGCGGCGACGATCGAAACACGGCTCCACCACCCGTGCCGTCTTACGCGGCGTGGTCGTCAGACAACTCACCAGACTTCCCCCGGAGTCGAGTTCGATAGCTGGGGTCTTTAAAACACCACACCGAGTCGACGGCGGCGACACCCCTTCACAGACCACCCGCGGCCGACAGCTTCTATCAACTGCCGTTCCGGGCAGCGGTGGCGGCGGCACGCGCCGCGCGATTGATCGGACCCGCAGCTCGTCGGTACCGGCATCACGAAACCCCGTCCGCCCGGGCTGAATGTATTACTGGTTCACTTAGCGAGCGGCGTATAGATGTGGTGCAGAGCCGCTCCGAAAGGAGCCTGCTGGTAATGATGCAACGGTAGTCACATCAATATTGAAAGGAGTATTTTAGTAATGACATCGCCACGATCAATTGACCGATATTGGATAAGTATAAGTACTTAGGTCTTCAATACGGACAGCTACTTAACCCTCGCCGGCCGAGGGGAGGGAGGCGGGTGCTGCCACCCCCCCTCCCCCACAGGGTTTTTTTCGCGATAGCTCTGAACACGCCGGCGATAGAGAGCTGAAACTTGACATACCTGACTTTTGATTCAAGCCAGATCTTTAGACACCAACCGCATTTTCGGGTCAAGTCAGGTCACTGACCTATGACCTCATAAGTGAACCTCTGCACGGTCTTCAGATGTCGCAGCTTCGCAACGCCCTCACTGCCAGTGGAGTTTTCACAGAGAGATGAAAGCTGCAGGATCTCGTATCCATTAGGAGTCTCCCAGCTTGTATATCTCAGATTTTTCCTAAAGGTCATATGAGGTCAGGCCATTTTCGTGACCTCACCATTATAAGTCAACGGGGAAAAATGAGAACTGCTATTCTGGCGCCGGGAACGATCTCCAACTATCTCAAGCACACAGAATAGTGATTTCATGCACTCCTTGCAAGGTTCCATGCGTCACTTTTGCAATGTTGACCTTACGTGACCTCATTTATGACGTCATTAGGGTCACATTAGTTTTTCGTCAATAACTCCCGATCACATTGCGCTAGCGAGTCGGGAAAGCCACCAATGGACTCAAGAGACCTGATATACGACACGTCCTCCTAACTCCTTCGACCAATTTCGTGACCTGGGGGCCTGACATTGCCGTGACCTTACCTGACCGTGACCCGAGGTCAACACCCAAGTTGACCTCACCCAAACAAGAAGTATATCACTCGACGCGCCTGAGCGAGGCGAACACCATGCTGCAAAAATCGCGGCTCTGCGGCCGTTTTCGGCGAAGTTATTCACCGAAAACGGAGCCGTACCTTGGGGCACTTGACCTGATCTCACAGGTCACCGATTGACCTAGGACCTTAAAATCGGGTATCAATTTCTGCGTCTGCGTATCAAAAACGGCGCACACGCTCGTTTTTCCCTCGACGCGCTACCTCAACGAGGGGCGAAATGGCGAGGGGGTCGTACCCCCCCCCCTCGGCCGGCGCGTATGTACAGTCTGTCTTAACCCGCGCACCGACGGGGGTCTGCGCCAACTTAGTACCGACGGGGGGGGCGGATGACCGCCCCCCCCCCCCCTGAGATCTCGAGAACGAAGCAAGATAGCGACAAGCGGTAAACGGCATCGGATACGCACGGACAAGGTCTACAATTTTTACTAAGGTCATTTTCAGGTCAGGTCAAAGATGACGTCACAGGGGTCGAAAAAGTCAAAATGGCGGCGCTAAATATGGAGAGGGTTTTTCTCGAATAACTTTCGAAGTAGTCAAGATAGGAACAAACTAAGGGCATCATCGTGATCTTCTCGTCAATCCGCATCGAATGATATATATGTTGACCTCGAAAGGTCAAGGTCAAAGGTTGACCTCAGGTCACGTGACCTCGAGGTCATCATGTATATCATTCGATGCGTCTTGACGAGCTGAACACAATGAGACCATTCGCGCGGCTGTATCTTGTTCCTGTAAGGAGTTATTGGCAAAAAATCTTTGGTGACCTTTGATGACGTCACATGACCTTACAGCTGCCCAACAGCAAAACAGACCTCAAGGTAGTGAAGGTTGATCGTATGTGAAGTCATGTATGGTATATGGGGCCATTCCGACCCGTTTTAGTGGTAAAAACAGGGAGTTGATTTTTCCCCCATTGACTTATAATGGGGAGGTCGCGAAATTGACCTGACCTTAGGTCACCGACATCAAAATTCCGAGATATACAAATTGTAGCTACTAATGACCTAATAACATCCTGCGACTTTCAAAGGCCTCCGACATCTACTGTAGCTCTGGCACGGTGCCAAAGTTGCAAAAAAGTGACTTGAGGTTGGGTCATGCAAAGTGACCTGGTGACCTGACCTTAAAAGTTAGGAGGTTCAAACTTGCACACCATGTGTAAAATTGATGAGAGAATAGTCATACCAAATTTCTACGCGCCGCGGTTTTCCCGCTATCCGCGAAAAACCTCAGGGGGGGGGGGCGGATATCCGCCCCCCCCCCCCGTCGGTGCGCGGGTTAAAAGTACCGCGCAAAGTGACGGTGGATCCATCAAGCCTGACTGAGGTAGGGCCTGCTATAATTTGAAAGTCACCGAACCAATTGACCTAGGGAATGGACGAGGATGTCAATTGCTTCGGTGACTCAAATTTAGTAGGCCCTTCCTCGGTCAGGCATGTTGGATCCACCGTCACTTTGCGCGGTACTTTTAAGACAGACTGTACATATGTAGAAAACCAATAGGTCCGGCGAAGGTTAATTTGTGGCTCGGGGGCTATGCCTCATATTAACCCTAGCCAGACTTACCAGCTTCCTAGGTACACCGAGGGCGTTGGAGACCTCTAGCCGTTTCACCCCCATTGAGATAGAGCTTTGCGGAAAAACAAACGTGTGCGCCGTTCCGAGGCGGAGCAACTGGTGCCCAGTTTTAAGGTCTCAGGTGTCCCACCTTTGCCAACTGGTGACAACCGGTGAACTCTGAGGTCAGGTCACATGCCCAAAAGTGAGGATTCGGTTTTTACTGAATAAAGTTGTCAAATATGGCTACAGAGCCATCATTTTGGAACCATTATGTCTGTCGAGCAGGCATATGATGTATGATGTATGTTCAAATGATTTACTTCTACTTTTTGTGGGAGGAAGTCAACTAAGGGTGTTAATCTCCTCAGGTTTAGGCCAGGTCAAAGCTGCTCAGGTCACAAAATTGGTCAACAAAGGTCATTTGCAAAGTACTTAATGCAGGATGTTTCTTGGAGTCTACTTCTGGCTTTCTCGGCCATCTAGCTCGATTTCATCGCGAGTTATCGATGTGAAGCTGATGACCTTAGCGATCTCATGCATGACGTCATGCAAGGTCAACAATGCAAAAGTTGACCTTGCCAGGTGTGTATGAAACACGATTTTCATGTGCTTGACAGTGGTCTACGATCATTGCCAGCGCCAAACTAGCGTATCCGTACTGCCCAACCATGAGTCCTCCCCTCCATACGGCCTAGTGGATAAGGTGTCCATCTTGTAACTCGGAGACATCAAGTTTGCGGAGGGGGGGGGGCTTCACACAGTAACTAGACCCGTGTTTCTATCCTCATTCTTCCACCAATGTGGCAACTGGCGAGACTCGAGAGGGCCACGGAAAACCCCTGGTTTAACTTTTGCTAGTGGACCAGGTGTAGGTAAGGTTGGGTGGTGAATTTGTGATTGTGTGACTGATCTTCGCGACAAGCGCCACCTAGCATGGCACCCGATTTAGTCACCCATTTATGTACTCTAACAATATTTAAAAATAATGGGTCATGCTGTCTTAAATATTAAGAAGTGTGCTATTGTTCATAACTAAGCGCATCTACAACTTCATGTGCAGGCTGAGTACATGTGATAGTGAGCTGGTAAAAAAGACTGAAAATTCGAGTGTAAAATACCGTTCTCGCCTGAGGCGCCACTGGCAACAGCAACTGTACGTTCATTTTAGCACATAGCTCTGCGCGAGTGCTGAAACAGGCCCGAATGATTGTTTGTGTGACATTTGGTTGTCTTGCCACTGCACTGACTGAAATCATCAGTATTTAAGAGTATGGACCCAGAGTCTGAAATAAAGCTTATCTATCTATCTATCTATCTAACTATTTTCACAGGAAACTCCACACTCATTGACACATTCAGTCAAAAAGACAGGCCATGTACTATGTAGCCATTACCAATCCATTCAGTCCCTGATGCTACTGTTAGCCATCCTGCTGCTATATAGAAAGCAAGATGTCATTATATCATATGATAGTATTTTTCAATTCAATGCAGTAATCAAATAAAATGGAATGAGTTTGCTGTCATGTGTGGTGTGCGGACAAAATCAACCCCAGCAGGCCAAAGCCATCTATAGAGTGAGAGGCGATCCTGATCCACACATTGACCTTGCAGTCCGAGAAACCCAATCATGATCACATTCTTTTGCCGCTTTGACAACCAGGATTCATGCATTCGAACTAGGAGAAATGTTTGATCCTAAATAAAATGCTTACCTTAAGGTGATAATCAAAATATTTCCGCAAACTTCATCTCAAACCTCGCATTCCAAACCAGTCGGGGAAACTATGGTAAAATCTGCTATTTTTAGCAGTCTGCTATTTTTAGCAGAAATCTGCTAAAAATGGGTACGCATGTGACGTCATCGTACCCAAATATAGCAGATTTGGGTACGGCCCCCGACAAAAGCAGATCTGCACCCTAATTGAAGCAAATGCGCATCAAATGCCTGGCAGATTCATGATAAGAATAGTGCTGAGAATGTCCTCTGATATTTTTGTTCAGATCCGACTATTTTCAAATAATGAATTTGAAAATAGGGCCTGTTCCAGCGCCTCCAGAAGAAATTCTTGACTGGAGGCTCTACCAGAGGTTTTACTGGAGGCGCTGGAACGCAATCTGGAGATTTCTGGAGATTGGCGTCATAGATACCAAAAGAATGACGTTTGTTCTCTCTTGAAACGCAAAATTTGTTTTCAATTTTAGTTAAAAAGATAAATAGAATTATAGCAATGTAATTTTCTTTACATTCAAGTTGTAAAATTATCAGTCAAATGTCCTTTGTTTACATTCGTGATTGTCACATGTGCTCCATAATTGTAGACCAGAGCCTCCAGAGAGATTTGGACCTCTCAACTCTCTGGAGGCTACTGGAGGTTTCTGGAGCTTTGGCGAGAGCTTTCTGGAGCTTTCTGGAGGCGCTGGAACGCTCTCTGGAGGATTCTAGAGCTTTCTGGAGCTTTCTGGAGGTTTCTGGAGGCGCTGGAACAGGCCCATAGTCGGATCTGAACAAAAAAAGCAGAGAACACTCTCAGCACTATTCTCATCATGAATCTGCCAGGCATTTGATGCGCATTCGCAATGGAAAACAACGGTAATGCTGAACACGGTCGAAATAATGCATATTCCGACGACTCTCCAATCCAATGACAAATCCAACATCACGGCGGGCGCTTCGCGGTGTGCCAATCAAGCAGACCGTATCAAAACAAACTCGCGCGCTCGCGAGCGGGCCCGAAGTACCATCCCTGACGCGAAACCCAGCTCCGACGCCCCCTACCTCCCTAGTCTCACTATTTCCCACGCAGCCAACACATACCGCTCTTTCCGCTTCCGCTGCGAGCAGACGTATAAAACACAACAGGCTTCAGTGTAAAAATATAAAACAGGACGAGAGGCGTGCTGGCGCGGGCGGCGGCTGACGGCAAGTACCGCGGCAGACTCGGAGCGCCGAGCGACCGGCGCCGACCCACCCCACACTGTTCACTGTCGGGCTCACTGGACTGACAGAGGCCCTCACGGTCACGGGTGGGCCTCTGATCGCCGGGACTGGATCTCCGCTGCAGTAAACAGCCGACATCTTTCAGAAGCTCGGGTCCAGTCTCGGCCACAAAACACCGCCCCATCCGCCGACAGGTTCACTTGGGACGCGCTACGCACCGCTCACCGCATCGGTATGTTTTAGTGGTTGACTGCGAGCTACTATGAGACATGTATGGACCTACAGCTGACCCCACAACCACACGGTGAAACAGCGAACAGGCTAGCGTCAGGTAAGGCCATGTTCGCGCAACCCAAGCGCGACAGACAGCGCCCGGTTCGAATCACTCATAGACGGTATATCTCGGACATACAGGCAATACGTCATCCACACTCGTAACCCTTCCTCTTGCTAATACGTCACTAATTCGACACACTGCATGTGAAAATATACCCTCTTCCGCGAACACCGCACCCCCAGCCCAAAACAGCGAGACCAAACCACTCCACTAAAACGTAGACGATAAAAGCCGCGGCCTGGCACGTGTGCTTTGTACATACGAGCTCCCTCTCCGCCGATGCTGGTCCTAGGCGGACACCACGTCTGGCCTGGGCTGGCCGGTGGAGGGAGGCGCGGCAGACACCGCCGGCGGCACGGACGGCGTCTGGCCCGGCGCCGGGGGGCCGGGCGGACTGACCGCGGCCGCCGGGGCCGGGCCCGGCGCGCCGGCCGCCGGCGCCGCCGCCGGGGGCGCGTGTTCCCCGGCGCTGCCGCTCTCCCTGCGGCCGGGGGAGAGCAGGTCCTGCCGGTCTCGCTGGCGCTCCTTGTTGGGTCGGAACGCGTCGGCGAGGGCGTCCACTCGCTCCTTGGTGGGCGCCCAGCGCGCGTGGCCGGCGTCGTTCTGCAGCCAGACCACCACCGTGCCGTTGCCCGAGCGCATGGTCGAGTCCGCTCTGAGGGAGGGGACGGGGCGAAGTCAGCAAACTGCAGACTCGGGTGGTAGGCTATAAATGGGCATTTTTATGGCACGTTCACAGATTAAGCGCATTCAGCATAAGGCGATACACTGGGTCGGGTTGACACAGTAGTAACTAGCGTCTCGATTGTAACCTAAGTCATCCTCTAGAGACCCCCGCTATCATCCCACCCTCACAGCAGCCATATCGCGGTGCGAGTCGTTACCTCTCTGGTGAGTCGGCAGGAGAGGGTCGGAGCGGGTCCAGAGGATCGCTCGGCCGCAGGTAGGAGGGTGCCGCCAGCACGACAGAGGCCGGCACGTACAGGCCGCACCCGCTGGTGGCACGGACCGGAGGAGTGGTTAGGATAGGAGATGCGGATCGAATGGTCACGGAGGGGGATTAGAGAGGGGCAAAAGATGACATTAAAACACGAACAGTATTATATGCGCCAGCTGAATCGCAATTGATAAGAGCGACAAAGGGGAGGTAATTAGGCTTGATGGGGGATGCAGGATTTGAGATGTAGCAGGCAGATGTAAAAATTGAGCATGAATCTGACAAGGCAGTGATCAAAAACAGCAAACCCGTAAGAAACTGTAACGTAAAAAGCAAGCGCAAGCCATATAACCCAGTGTATGGATCTGCAAAGGCGAATACAGGTTATGGTAAATTATACAATCAGATAATCAACATAAAGATTGGGCTGGTTGATCACAGGATGAAAATCCCATGGTGTCGTCTCACCTGCTGACCACGTGCTGGAAGCCATGGCGGTAGTGGTGCTCGAAGGCGGGCAGCGCGATCTGGCGCCGGTTCCACCTGCTGCCCTCCAGCTGACTGAGCGCCGCCGGCGCCGGGTCGCGCCACTCCGGGAAGAACACGACAAACGAGAGCGGCTCGGCCGTCTGCGAGAGCAGCCGCTCAAAGTGGGTGACGCACGCCTCCATCAGCTCCTCGCAGAACGGCGGGTTCGCCTCGAACGAGCCGTGCGTCGGCTTGAAGTCGAGCACCATCCTGAGGCACAGAGGGAGCGAAAGTGATAGGTAGGGGTGGGGCCGATAAAAAAACGATGGAGTTGACTGAGCTCCGTGCAGTTCTGTTGACCCTGCGAGCGACAGACCGAGCGACTGGCCTCTTAAAACAGCCAGCCATTTGGGCAGGGCTCTCCTAAGTCGTAAGATGTCCCCACATCGACTATTACGTCTCGGTCTACAGCTGCTGTCTCCCTTGAGCAAAGCCATGACCTCCCAATTATAAACTACCTACGTATGTGAGCCAGCTGCTAGTACTCCACCCGAACCGCTCGACTTATCACCTCACGACAAACAAAACTCCTTGCTGTGACCTGATTCAGTTCTGACCGGTGATAATTCTGACCCGACCCTACCGGCCACCCAATACTGACCACTGATGACCAGACCTCTAACCACCCGTCCTGACTTACCCCCGTGACCCGAAGTAGCCGTCTGTATCGGGGAACGCGGAGCAGTACTGTCTGAAGTAGCAGTTGAGCGGCGAGGCGAACAGCTCGAACGTCACCCCAAAGTTTTTGTGTAGACACTCGAGGACGGTGAGAGGTAGCGCCGCCTGGTGGGAGAACGGACAAACAGCGGTCAACGTCAGTCACCGTAAGACTAGCTTCGGGAGCTGCTAGTATTTTTCAAACAGGCGCCATAGTCTGATACAGCGACATTTCGCAAACGACCATCACGTTTATCAATGATGCACAAGCTGGCAAGCAGGCAAGATGGTAGACTGAGCTAGGCAACCAGTTTGTTTGTTAATTGGGACTTAGGGGCTCGCCGACTACTAAGGTCATTTTGCGCACATAACGTCGTACTAATAAAACAAGTGTGTCAAAGAAAGAACCTTCTAGATACAATGCTAGGCAACCAGACCAGCGGGTGGCTAAATCGCCTCTCGCCACAAGATTGGCATACATTACAGACTGCCCTGAATGAGCAGCTGTATCGCTGACTAACCAAGGACCGCATCTGACGCCTGCGTGACGGGTTGAATTGAAAGAACTGTTCAAATGTACACATCATCAGACTGACCTGCGTGGCCTGTGTGGCCGAAGTCTCCCCACCACCGGTCGCCGCCCAGAACGTGTTGTAGCGCTTCAGCATGCACCAGACGCGCGTCAGGAACGAGTCCAGCTTGCGGTCCTCGATGCAGCTGTACCGGTACAGCTGCTCCTGTGGACCGGACGAAGCGTCAGCGACTGGCGAGACGGCGGGGGGAATGGTAATCATCCCAGCGGGATGAGCGCTGCGAAAGCTTCGTGAAAAAAAAAATCGTTGAGTTTTATCGACGTTTATATTGTGAATCCACAAGGCATGGTAATTCAAGTGAATGGAAATGGGTTGACAGCGGGGAATCCGATGTCAAACATTTAGTGCCGAATGTCACGGGTTAATACGGAGCAAAAGTTTTGTATTATATCGCGAATGACTGCAATTGATTGCCCTAATATTCTCAGCTGAAGAAAATTTGAGTTTCCAACAACAATACTATCAGCTATCATATCATTGCCTCCTAAAAAATAAAACAGCCGAACGCCACCGAATCCCCCCATGCCCTCACCAGTTTCTGCAGGTAGAGCGTGTTGATTTTGAGCGCCTCTCCCTTGTAGCGCAGCATCATGGTCTCTTTGTCCTGCAGGTACTCGATCTGAGGCAGCCGCGGTGAGGGCAGCGCGTACTGGATCGGGAAACACCACACCTTGCGCGGGTTCTCCACCGTCAGAGATGTGTGAATCTCTGCCGGGAGGAGGACAAAAGGTGGGAGTGATCAGTGCTGGTACACACGGACCCGGATGGGGCAGATGTTTCGGGTCAAAATAATCTGGTCATTATTGGACACGCAGTCAACGGACAGAAAACGTGCCTCGTTGGACCCATTTTTGTAAAGTGCATTCATTCATTCATTCATTCATTCATTCATTCACTTATCGATTCGCTCATCCATTCATTCATTCTCATCAATTCACTCATTCATTCATTTATTCATTAGCATTTAGATTTACTAAGTGTAAGTAAGTATAAACATTACGATAAACGATGAATGCCTTTGCATGAAGTCAGCTGCTGCTGCAGCTGACCCATATCCCGCGCTACCCGCTCCACCTGCACCTACCTGTGATGTTGTGCTCTTTGAGCAGCTCCCAGTGTTTCTCGTGTATCTTTTTGGCGTAGTCGGCCGACAGGTTGTACACCTTCAGACAGATGGCCTCCACCGACTGTTTGGCCGCCTCGGTGATCTGCGGCTGGCACTGCCGCTTCAGGTGCTGCAGGCGTTCCTGTCGGACACAGGGGGGGGGGGCTCTGTGATCTGCGGCTGGCACTGCCGCTTCATGTGCTGCACCCGCTCCTGTTGGCGGTGGAAGTGAACGGGGTGACGGTCAGCTGAGCTCATGGCGAGTGTTCGAGTTTAATCAGCTGCTCTTGGGCCGCCTTGTTGAGAAAGATTGCCGTTTCGAAAGTATAGCTGCAGAAATCCCCAAATATACTGGGCTAAGTGCCCAAAAGACGGGTCAATAATGCCACAAAAGGCGATAGAACGCACAAAAGCTCTGTCACGATTAACAGCCGTTTATATGTTCAACAGAATCTTGACGATGAATTAACATGCTACAGCGTTATCGCCATGCGACACGTCTGCGGCCTCAACCATTCTTACTTGGAAGTCGTCGAAAGAGGCTCCGACTGTGCGCCGCAGCCACTGGAATGTGTCTTCCACGTTCCACTTGACGATCTTACGGCTCTCCGGGCTGGCCGTCCTGAGGGACAGATGAAGGGGCGGTCAGAGACTAGAGTACAGCTAAGCGGAGAAGGGAGCTGGGAAAGGGACGAATGCAGCTGGGAACGGAGCGGATAGAGACGAAAGCTGCTCGGGGATAGGGTGGTATACATGAAGCTATCGTACGAGAATGCGATGAACTGAGATATAGGTACGAACTCCATTCGAAGTTCGAACGTAATCCAACCAAAATAACCAGCCAACAACATCGCGCCCACTTCAGTGATCTCCTCTTTCCAATCCATCTTCCACCCCACTTCCACTCACAAAACACTTACCTGGATTCAATCATCTTTTTGGCTGCCTCGCAGTATCGCGAGAGCTGCTTGCGCGCCTCGCCGGTAAACTTGGGCTTCACCAGCTTCATGGGCAGGTCGTTCATGATCTCGCGGTACATGGACATGGAGATTTCGGGGTAGCAGAGCGAGGGCAGCAGCCGGTCGGTGCCCGAGTCGATCACCTTGCGCTCCATCAGCCAGCGGCTGAACGAGCCCACCGGGGCGTCCACACCTGCCACACGGTACCGGGAAGGGACGGTGTCAGGTGCATAGTTGTGCACCACTCGGGACACACTTCGAGGATGACCATTTGCATTATTCTGCGTAATGAGCAGTAACTGCAAATGTTGAGCTGAGCAGGTAAATATGTTCATAACTTTACTCCCTCTATCATATTTTCGCGGTAGGTATTCAAAAAAGACCGACGAGTGAAGTGTATCGTAAATGGTAATGCGAATTTTCATCACCAGCGCATGATTAGTCTCATTGGTGTCCGTCGCAAGAGTGCTACGAAGGTACCACCTCCTTCCTGTTACGTACCCTCTCTGGAGTGGCAGAGCTCCTGATAAGTCTGTCGCAGCTTGTTGGTCAGCTGGGCGCGCATGATCTCGATGTCCGGGTGTGGGTGCGGAGTGGTGATGGGCGGACGCTCGAAGATGACCGCGTTGGTCGGAATCTCCAGGTCCCACGGACCACTGCCGGGGCAGGTCACAGGTTAGAGATCACAGGTCACGGGTTACAGGCCATGGGTTACAGGCCACATGTCATACGTCACATCCCGAACTGACGAGAAGGCCGGAGAGTGGCACGAGCACACGTGCTATACAGTTATACTCGGACAGAATCGATGATCGTAAAGACCTTTCAAACTCCGTCTTTATGGTCGGATACTTATATAATATCGGCCAAACATGCACTTGTTTCGTAACAGCTCTCGTAAATATGCGGCAGTCAGACGACGCAGCAGCACTATTGGGCCGAAACTGGCGGCATCAGGCATGGAACGGTAGCCGGCGGCATTTCAGGCGGAACCGTGGCTCCGCCAGTGACGGCTGGTGGAATTTGAGTCGAGAAGCACGTCGTATTACGCTATGTTTGAGCTGAATGCAAATGTCATCGCATACACAATACAATTACAAACGATCTGCTTCGTAATAAATGCGTTATGAAAGCACGATCCGAAACAATAGCATCTACGATAGTGCATCTCAGCTGTACCTAGGAGACGTAAAAATAAACTACCAGTAGCAATAAAATCAACCATGCTCAAGGTGTCGCAGTATATTTATATGTGACTTCTATAAATGCATTTTATCTTGTCGATGATTATATACCTAAAGCCAAAGTCCCGGCACATTGCATTTACGGCTCTCGGGATACGGTTGAACTCTATTCGCACATCTCCCGCACAGCCCCCGACTCACTGGACGATGGGGATGCGTTTGGTGACCGGTCCGCCGAACTCCTCCGAGGCGCGCCGCTTCAGGCCCTGACCCGGATGACCCGGCTGACCCATGATGCCCAGTGGGTCGGACACCGGGTCAAACTGCCGGGGGGAGAAGGTCAGATAAGACAAATGACAAACGGTCAGCTCAGCACGCAGCATGGCAATAAATAATTAGTAGATACGAGTAACATGTCAAATGTCAATCGATAGTTTAATCGAGATACTAAACAAGTCACAAATGATATCGCATCCACTCCCTATGCTTCGATTTTTTCACGCTGTCAGACTTGACAGGAAAGCCCTTCCCAAACACAAACAGCGCTTAACATATTGTGGTAAGCCTAATATAGCCATGAATTTATGAATAACCATGCAGCTTGAACTGGCATCTTTTTTGAATGCATGAGTGCGAATTTCCGTTTCTGCCAATCGCACATATTTGGCGACTCATTTTCCGCACTACGAATACGAATATGATGCTGTCGACTCGAGTCTCGAGTCCCCGATGCTGTCGACTCGGCCATCTTGCAGAGTCGGAATATCTGCATCCAATGCATATGGTAAAACCACTCATAAGGTTTACCAATACATCGAGCGTCCTGCGTCGCTGCAGATAATTCAAAGCCATACCCATCGGGACTTGCATATCGAGCACACGTCACGACTCAAATCAAAGTTTTACCGGGGACGGTCACATGTTTGTCCCATTATTGCCATCTATAAGCTAGTTCTACTCCCCAGTCCCCACTCATGCTCAGTGTGGGTCCTCACCTGTTGCCGTCCACCATGCAGCGGCGGCAGGTCCCACAGTGACTGGTTGGTGAGGTGGTTCCAGAAGTAGTGTCTGTTCTCCCTGCGGGACCACAGCCGCCGCCAGCCCTGCGCCACCAGTTCCGGGGGCAGCTCCTGGGTGTCGCCCGGGATGGGCGGGGGAGCAGCTAGAACTGGGGTGCTCGGGCCGGCCACGGCCATCGGAGGTCCGCTGGGTGTGGAGAGTGGAGGCAGGGATGGAGCGGCACTTGTTCCAGGCTGTGACGGCACTGCACCTGCTTGGCCAGCCTCCCAGGTGGCTGGTGGCCTGCCTGAGTTCATGGTGGCTGAACTGCTGAAGAATGGATAAAAACAGTTTATTGACGAAGAAATAGATATCATGTGGTAGAAAATAAGAAAGGTATTTACCATTGTTTTAAACTGAAGCAATAAATTAAGTATCCACTTCAAAAAGTAAACATAAGAGAAGTTACTTTTGAAAACAATGAAGGAATTAACTCTCAAAGTAATGCTAATACCATCAAACTTTTAACAAAAAATGCCTCAGCAATCAAAGCAAAATGAATGACAGAACCATATGGTAAGACCAAGGAAATATGTTGATCATAAAATTAGGACATTGAACATATAGAAAATGAATGATAATGGATATAAAACACGTTTTGAAACACATATTTAAATAATTACGCCATGCTTCCGGTGGGCGGGCCACAGAACGAATCTAAACTACACATAGGTTGGCAAACAGGACACAAAACGGGCCAAAACTAGCATAAAACTACATTAAATTAACTGTTTCGTAAAAATAACCATAGAAATTCCAGTTCTGATGGTAAGATTCCCGAGCACACCTTATTTAGCACGCGAAGCGCACAGACGCAGCCCACACGGAACGGACGCCATTTCCCTCTGACGCCGATGATCGTTATTTTGGTCACGTGACCAATACCATGTACGGTAGATGTGTTTCTCCGTCTTCTTGTAATTATTTCATGCATTTATGTGTCTTATTTTGGTGATGTTAGCTACTTTTCATATGAAATATAACAAAATTAGGAGCTTAGATTACCATATTTTAGCATACACTCAAGGAACTTTGCAAACGATTTTCAAGGAGTTAAAAGTTAAAGTCATTTGAAAGCTCCTGTACTTATAACTCCATGGAAATATTTGATATACTTGTTTAAAATGTCATTGGCGTAAATATCTTCAAAAAAAGCCTCTTCTTGTTCAGAATATGTCATAGAAATTCTTTATAAATCACATATTCGTCAAAATGCACACAATTTATAAATAGTAGCTGCATCCTTCTATGAAAAACTGTCTTTGATGCGCCGTTTTGGGTGTTGTAATTTTTCCACTTTTTCTCTTTGAGGTCAAAGGCCGATCGCGGTGCATCTTCGTAAGAAAATCTTGATTTTTTATTAGTTTTGGGTGTCCATAGCCTTTTGTTTGAATGAAATTTGTGTTAAATAACATCATCACGTTTTATTTGTCCCGAATCACTTGTGTACGATGCTATCACTCCGCTGTATTCACCCTAACGGAATGCGATGCTGATGCACTGTTCTTTCCATTTCCCCAAGGCCGTTTCCTGTTTCTCCTGTTTCTCTGTTTCCTTGCTTAGTGCTTACCGACAACATATAAGGCTTTTTGTTCTGACTTTTGAGCTGCAAGCTTAAATTAAGTATTCAATGCAGGAAAGCTGATAAATATGTCTTCACTGGTCCTCCGTATGGCAGCGGATGTGCATGGTGTTGGTGTCTGTCTTGTAACCCTGTGTCAGTATCAGTGACTTTGTGGCTGGGTCTCAGTTTATAGCTCCACTTTGTTAAGCCCATGTTTCTTGTCAGCTACCTATCTAACACCTGGAGAAAACGGATCACGCTAGACAATGTGGGACTTGTCACTGTCGATATATACCAGTCGGGGAAACTGTGGTAAAATCTGCCATTTTTAGCAGTCTGCTATTTTTAGCAGAAATCTGCTAAAAATGGGTACGGACCTGCTAAAAATGGGTACGCACGTGACGTCATCGTACCCAAATATAGCAGATTTGGGTACGGACCCATACAAAAACAGATTTGCGCACTACTTGAAGCAAATGCGCATCAAATGCCTGGCAGATTCATGATGAGAATAGTGCTGAGAGTGTCCTCTTCTATTTTCTTTCAGATCCGACTATTTTTTAATAAAATATTGCCATTGGAAGATGAATGCACTGAAATTTCCTAGAAATTGGTCATTGTTTTAGGTATTTTATGTTTCTTCTATTAAGAATAGACAGAAAATAATGTTGAAAACAAAATCTAGCAAAAAAATACATAAGGTTGAGATTCATTACTAGAACAGGCCATCACTATAACAAACACAATTTGGCATGATTGGTTGACACACATGTTATCAAGGTCATACCATTGAAGGGGTAAATAGCTATGTAGGCATATTTTAATAGTTAATTTAGCCGTTTATGTGGTTTGTTAAGATGACCCTGGCCACAGTGTTTCTTATAATGGTAAATTTGGCACATAGCATTGCCTGGTTTTGTTCAAACAGCAGCTTATGCCCTGCTGGGTCTTGGCACGACTTTTCAACCTTAATGGTTAGGATGTCATTTTAGTGGTTTAATAATCCATTTTGGTTAAAAATGTTACCTCCATCTTATTCTCCAGACTTTAAAGTGTATGTAATGACCAGCTATTTTGAATCAAGACAATTCTTTTTTGGGAAATGAGTAGAAGTTTGGCACAGCCTAGCAGTCAAAGACGTCAGGCTGCAGGCTGGTGGTCAATTATTTACTATTTTTTCACATGTTTTGTTCCTCAAGATGACTATTATTTTCAAAAATCAACATGAAATTGCCAAACCTTAAAAAACATTGGTGTGGGTGTGTGTTTATTTGTGTATCATTATCACTGCATAGTGATTGCGTGACCAGATGAATATTGAATGTTGCATGGTGTGAGTCTACAGATCTTACGAGGGCCATATGGGTAATGGGGCTTCACGGTTTAAGAACCTGACGTTATTTCTGTATGTGTCTGCATGCTTTTGCCTGTTTGAAATGCATACTGTCTCAGTCTTGTCTGGACGTGCTAGGACTTAGTAAACTTTGATATGTGGGGTACATGATGACACGTATTGCAGTAATCAGACTGTTTTCAAGTAACCTTCCACACTTTTGAATGCTGTAAAAAGCTCTCTCTCGGTCTCGGTCTCGGTCTCGGTCTCTGTTTCAGCCTGGTCAACTGTGCTATTGCCTTAAGATGGTGCTGCTAGGCAACAGTGTACTGCCTCCTCTGGTGGATAGAGTGGGCGTGGGGTGCCAAAGCTCAGTTATACATGTACATTTCACCATTAATCAATAGATACATAGATATATCTTCTGCTATTTTTAGCAGATGCAGCTGCTAAAAATAGCAGTTTCTACTAATATTTGGGGCTTCCTGAATCAGCTAAATTTACAGCATTGTTCCTTAAAGTTTTTAGGCAAATGATAGGTTCATTTGAAAATGTGAGAATTGTAGTATAGACATTGCATGCAAAATAGTGTGTTTCTGAGTGAAAGATGAATGTTTGACCAGTTTTCAAACAGTACTTTTTACCGTACCCATTTTTAGCAGATTCGTACCCATTTTTAGCAGAATTCTGCTAAAAATAGCAGACTGCTAAAAATGGCAGATTTTACCATAGTTTCCCCGACTGATACCTAATAGACTTGTTGAAAATTTTCACCAGTGAATTGGGTGCAGGCAAGGTCAGGTGGTGGGTGCCTTCTGTTATTTACAGCAAGCACCAGTTAGTGTGACACCAGGGCTCAAAGCCATTCCTTCATCCACAGAGACACTAATTTTCTAAAGGAAAGAGAACAAAGTTATGATATTAATGCAATATTGGATTCGGTTTGCCTTCCCAGTCACAGGAAATTTGAAACACATACCATCCTGAGCTGTCACCTGTTGATAAGATATTGTGATGCCTAAGGGATCGTCTTGATGTCCTGATTGTGATGCTTTTTTAGGAGTAAGCTCATGGTGTCATTTCATAGCCCTGCCACTCCTCTGCAAGCTATCAATTTCAATTCAAATTATCAACAAATTGAAATAAACTAAGGATTGCTATAATTGCCTATGGCACTGGCCTATTCCCATTCCCTCTCCCTTACTCTCCAGACCCTCATGCGGATTCTGACTGTTCTAGTCATTTAGCAGTAGCAGACATCAAAGCAGCAGGATTTTATGATCAGCATTCTATTCAGATGTAGATTCCTAGTGAATGGCACCCTACTGGTCTCAGTAATAACTTTGGCTCTTACCATACCAAAGGCTCCTGCCCCTCAGCACTCAGCAGCCTTTGACACCCATGTGGGCCATTGTTCAGTTAACTTCTTCATCAGGGCACCTTTTCCCACAGCATATGGTAATAATGAACCAAATTTATCAAATTTTCTTACTATTTATTGAATGAAAAGCAATGCTAGTGTAGGTACCTTAATGGGATTGGTAAATGGTATCTTAAAGGGATCATGACAACATGACATCCAAATCTTCTGTTTCAGCTTTATTTACTTAGCCCCTGTAGCAAGTCATGGCTGCCCTTCAGATCAAGCCAGCCCAGCTGAAAAAGCTGTTCACTTATGGTAAGTGGGCTGTGATTTCATTTTATGATATCTACCTCGAAATATAATCCATTTTGTGTGACCAATTACCAGCTAATGCATCTATTCAAATGTTTTTACTTCATGCGTTACATATATTCAATTTCACACATATTTGTTCACTCATTCTACTGGTACTCATTCATCACCCCGAAGACCATATAAAGTTATTGTTTGTGTATCTAAAAGTATATTTTGGAATGATAGGCAAACGCCTAAATCAATGCGGACACGTCGTCAGGCCGCGTCGGCCACGTCATACACCGTTGTGGCCTCACAACGGCGGAGTCGCGTCGAAGACTCGTACTCCTCAGGCCGCGTCGGCCACGTCGTATATACACCGGGCCGTCGTGCACCGGCGGAGTCCCGTCCAAGACTGTCGCGCCCCCGTCCCATCTTGTGGTTTCTGGTTCCATATGCAATACTAAGTGACTATTCACATAACAAAATATGGTAAATATCAGGCATGCTTCTATAGTAGCATGGATACACTGGCCAGTCAGCTCCCTCACACACACTGTCACCATGTCACATGCATTCCCACCATCTGTGTTGTCCAGGCGGCGTCCGCACGATGGCTGCTGCCGCGCAGGGCAAGAAGAACATTGTGCTGGTGGAGGGTGTCCGCACGCCTTTCCTCATGTCTGGCACCGACTACAACAAGATGATGCCCCACGATCTGGCCCGCGAGTCGCTGCTGTGAGTCGTACGGGATGGAGGGGATGGTCGGCGCCGGTGAGGGGATCGCGAGATAATTAGATACCTAATGCCGTGTCTTTTCGTGGAGTTGGTTCGTCTTTGGTTAGAATCGCTAATGCTGTTCATTTTGATATTTATTAGGTTGCATTGGAATTGGATGGGATGCGAATTTATTTAAGGACTCCTGTTTTTTTTTTTTTTGCAATGCCCTGCAGCATATTTACTCAGAAAGTTATTGATTCTATCAGAATACCAGCAACATATGGCTGGGGAATATAAGTGGTTCTCAAATTCTCGTCCGAAAACATAGTCGTCTGCATCAAAATCCAATTCACCCTGACTTCACTCACCGCCTGCCGTCAGTGGCCTGGTGCGTAAGGTGGGCTGCGAGCCGTCCGACATCGACTACGTCACCATCGGCACCGTCATCCAGGAGGTGAAGACGAGCAACATCGCGCGCGAGGCGATGCTGGGCGCCGGTTTCTCGGACCGCACCCCGGCGCACACTGTCACCATGGCCTGCATCAGCTCCAACGCCGCCATCGCTACCTGTGAGTGATAGAGTGGGGCAGGGGAGAGAGTTGGGGAGTTACAGAGAGAAGAGTTCGAAGGTTTGTTCAGGAAGGTTCGATAGCTCCTCTGGTGACATAACATCCAGGAAGGATGAGCGGGGAAGGATGAGCAAAGTGTTCACTGTGGGTTGTTGAGTTTAGACAAGATGGAACAATGAGGTTGCATAGTTGATCACGATTTAAAACTTGATGTTATGTTTCGAGGATAAGACAATATTTCTTCTCTTTGTAGCGCATCATATTTTTCTCGACCGCATTGATGAAGTTTGTCTTTAAGTTGGCACACTGGTATGTCATCTCTGCTTTTTCCTGTTCATATTTCGATACGCTGTGTTCTTACCGTTTCCTACGACCCTTACCTCTTCCGGCAGCGGTGGGTCTGATCCAGGCCGGCGTGTACGATACCTGCGTGGCCGGCGGTGTCGAGTTCATGTCCGACATCCCCATCCGCCACTCGCGCCAAATGCGCGCCCTGATGCTGCGCGCCAACCGCGCCAAGACGATGGGCCAGCGGCTGGGCCTGCTGGCCTCCATCCGGCCCTCGTTCTTCACACCGGAGGTGAGAGTGGGACGGGGGTAGAGACTGAGTGGGGTGTGTTCAGGCGTGGTACAAACTGATATCTATATTGACAATGTGACGTTTGTTATGCGACGTGACTGCATGTGCGAGATTGTGATGTAATTCCTTTTCTTGAGCAGGGACCGGGAGGGATAAGCCTTGAATCGAGTGCCGGGTATCGCCGAGTTCCCCACCGGTGAAGTGACAGGTCACTGACTCCTGTCTGACCCCTGTGTGACCTCTCTCTGACCTCCCCAGCTGCCCGGTATTGCCGAGTTCTCCACCGGCGAGGTGATGGGCCACTCGGCCGACCGTCTGGCGGCGGCGTTCTGCGTCAGTAAGGCCGAACAGGACGAGTTCGCCACGCGCTCCCACCGCTGCGCCATGGACGCGCGCGACAAGGGCTACCTCTGCGATGTGGTGCCCGTGAAAGGTGAGAACCGGTTGGCAGGAAGAGAAGGGAGCTGGTTAATCTGGAGTCTAAACATTTAAGCCAGAGGACGTTCCTCGGGGCATTAAGTGCCCTCCGTTCTTAAGCGATGCCATCATGCCGAGTCCCGAGACATGGTCACGGGGCGGGTCGGCGGGCAGGGGCGTCGCCTCGCGAGATGGCAGCATAGGGCGCGAGGCGGCGCGGGCGGGGGCCAGCGGCCCGTTTGGAGCACCGGGGAGGCTTACGGCCTCCCCGGGGCCGGGGCGATAACAGGCGTGTGCCAGCCAGGCTTGTGTGTGGCTTGTGGCTTAGCCAGGCGAGCAGAACCGGCACGGTGCCCTTAGTGGGGTGTTGAGGCTGCGGGGTGTGCCCGTGTGGTGTGATAGTTGTGGGGTGCGTGGGGGTGTGGTGAGGTTGATGTAATGATGTGATGATTGGTCTTATGTCTGGATACTGTGTTTTGAATATGCAATAAATTGATTGTGGGAAAAAAAAGAGTCCCGAGACATGCTGCTGGTCAACTGATTTAGACGAAAGTTTGCTCTTAACCCGAAAAAAGAGGTGTTTTGTTATGCTTGATCCCTGTCAATATCTCATTGTCAAAGTGAGTTGACTGTGAATGACACGTTACGCTTTCTTGCCGTTCCAAATCCAGTGCCGGGCAAGGAGATGCTGGTGGAACAGGACAACGGCATCCGTATCACCCCGCCGGAGAAGATGGCAGCCATGAAGCCGGCCTTCATCAAGCCACACGGCTCCGTCACCGCCGCCAACTCGTCCTTCCTCACCGACGGCGCGTCAGCATGCCTCATCACCACCGAGGAGAAGGCCAAACAGATGGGCTGGAAGCCCAAGGCGTACCTCAGGGAGATGACGTTCGTCTCGCAGGACCCCAAGGACCAGCTGCTGCTCGGGTGAGAGGAGTGGGGTGGGAGTGGGAGGGAAAGGGAGGGGGGTAGGGAAAATATGAGTTGCTTTGGCTTTTTGAGTTACGATGGTTTACAGTGTAGGTCGAGTTCGCACCATGTGTTATTCATGTTAGCTTATGTTGTATGATTTCGGTTATGTTATTAATTTTGAAATACCAAAAGAAAAATGTGTTGGCTGATTGACATCAGTACATTTGACATTTTCGTTTGTAATATCGGCAGTACCATTCGCTGTTGTTCTGTTGGCCTGCCTTCCTTCTCGTGTTTCGTTTACACAAGATCGCTCTAAACCTAGTTTCCCTATGGTCTGCGCCCGTCTCCCACCGGTCTTGCCGCCTGTGTCTATCGCTGACCCGTTCCCCTGTGCCCCGACAGGCCGACGTACGCCACGCCGCGCGTCCTGGAGAAGGCCGGCCTGAAGCCGAAGGACATTGACGTCTGGGAGTTCCACGAGGCGTTCGCCGTGAGTGCTGCGTCTTTGCGATGTTGTTATGAAATACAATTCCATTTTGTAACTTCACAACCGACAAAGTTCGTTCCGTAATAATGCTAGTAAACGGCTGTTCAGTTGCGATGTTTGTTTATTAAAACTCTACAAGTGTTTTGTTTTACCGTTTTAAGTGTTTGGAAGAGAGCGTTAGTCGTCTATGGTTCACATTCCGTTGACCTTTGTACCCGTTTCCCTCCGGTTACAGGGTCAGATCCTGGCCAACTTCAAGGCCATGGACTCTGACTACTTTGCCAAGTCCCAGATGGGCCGCTCGGCCAAGGTGGGCGCTCCACCGATGGAGAAGTTCAACAACTGGGGCGGCTCGCTCAGCATCGGACACCCCTTCGGTGCCACCGGTACGTGTGGCCAGTGTCGTAATACAGCTGCTGACGGTGAAATGTCCTCTGCAACAACGACGGCCCTAAGCCCACATCCTCCATTTGACAACTCGTCCAAGGTGTTAGCTCCAAATAGTTATATCGAAATACGAGTATCTGGTTTGTTCCTGTGATAATCAAGCGAGGGTTTTATCAGACCGTTGTTTGGGATTTTGACTAGCACAGGATACATTACAGTGCGTTGATGGCGATGCACAAAATATCCAGTCCGTATACAAAGACAGTGTAGATTATAACGAAGTTCTATGAATGTAGCTTTGCGCAAACTTTCTGTATACGTGGTGGTAACAGTCGATCTCTCTGCCGGTCGCAGGTGTTCGTCTGGCGATGCACGCGGCGCACCGTCTGATCCAGGAGGACGGCAAGCTGGCTCTGATCGCCGCCTGTGCCGCCGGAGGACAGGTGAGGACGCTGCGGGAGGAATGGAGGAGCTCAGACTAGGGGTATAGCTACTTTGAGAGGGAGATGTGGATGTACAGAGAGGATACTTCGTGTGAGGAATGTAAAACATGGGCTTGGAGGGGCTACTGCGAGAGGATGGGGCGGGACTTGTCGGGCGGGACTTGGGACCGGGGCAGTGGGAAGATGTTCAGCTCTTCTCTGGGAGGACGGGAGGATAATAGAAAGGAGGATATCGTAGCTAAAGGTTTTGGACACCTAGCTCAACCACGTGAGGACAGAATATGTCCAGAGACCAACTGGCTAATGAAGTGGGAACCGAGTTTGATCGGGACTTACCCTAACTAGCATCCTTGTCTATCAACTTCCTTATTCGACTGGCAGTTTTTTTGGATGGCGAAGCGGATACGGATTTCCTGCCAGTTGTGTTCGTTACCGAGTTTCCTCGTGCGTCATTCTTTGATCTGGCACTGCACTTGTATATCTCGTAATTCATTATTTTCATGTTTGTGATGACAGGAAGAAGGTCCAGGATATATCGGACGGAATAAATCAGGATTATGTAACTAAAGTGTACTTGGAAGTCGATAGACTGATCTCTCGATCAGAATAATAGCCGATGGTTCTTCACTGTGTTTGTTATTAGAAGTGTGGGTGCCGATGCTTTGCCAAGTGGAATTGCGGTTTTGTTTCTTGCCATCATTTTGGGGAGATTAACGGTTCTGGCATTGCCGTCTCATCAATATCGCAGCGTGCAGAAAAACATCGTCTATTTTTAGCCGGAAGCACGTGACGGTTCCTGTCGATTGCCGTCGTCCCGGCGGTGCTGCCGCCTGCCGGATCTGTCACCGGCCTGGCTGGGAGCCACACCCCCACTGACCCCCCCCCCCCTCCTACGTCACAGGGAGTCGGCATGATTGTGGAGCGCTACCCGGGGGCCAAGCTGTGAGCCGGGCCACGTGACTGAACGCCCACAGACGCCGCCAGTTGCCGGAGATACTCCGGCGCCTTAACAATGCAAGTGGCCTCCCGTGGGGCGAGCGGGAGGCTGCCACGGTTACGGGCCGGGTCAGCCAGAGGGGCGACCGGCGCCAGACTCCGCGCCGTGGTGAAATGCGCCTATTTTATCGGTATGGGCACATACGGAGTGCTGACGATTTTGTATGAAAGGGGAGTGTGGAGTGTGGTGCAGTTATCGGAGTACGAACTGGAAACTTATCTAGCGCCTGTTTCAAGCACCGTGAGATGTGATGGTGGTTCGTTATCAGAAATATGGCTGATCTGGGAGATAAACATGTTGGAATGAATGGATTATAGGTGGTCGTTGCCGATATCGATATCGGCCGTGAAACGTACATCGCTCGCCTGTCGGCTGTATTTGGACTGTGGCGCCATCTGGATAGTGGTGGCCCGGTGTTGACAATATCAACACCGATAAACACGCGCTATCCTGTCCCAGACAAGTGTGATCCATGTAGCCTGCTGATTCCAATAAACGGAACTTATTGTGTGAGGTGTTTTTGGTATTGGTAGTGCGGACTGCGGATCGGCTGGAAGTGGCGTTATAAGACTGCTCTGGTGGGATGAACTGCCACCTAGACTCGTGTCATAGCCGCCGCGAGATAATCAGATGATAAAACGAGATTGAGATACGTAGGTTCAAAACGACGTGGGTTGGATGTGCTGATTTGATCCAACTGCAAGCATGCAATGTGCATTGCTCGATGCCATCGGGCAGCTATCAACTGATTTTGCCGTTGGACTTCGATCGGCTTTATTTCTATAATATTCCGAAATAAAATTGTATAATCATAAAGGCTAGCGGTAGCATTATGCTTCAACGATCGGGATGTGCTCGCTGCCCCCTCATCGTTCGTACTGCAGCGAAAGCCCCGGCAGTTTTAGTAACCCTATCTTACAGACCTGACAACAGATGTCGCTAGTCTGACCTGCTTGCAGGAAATAGTGCTGAGAAATATTTCTATCTGGTATTTTTATTATTCAACTCAATAAAATTTGCAGAAAAATCACTCCTTGTTATTAAATATGAGTTTTCGTTTAATATTTTTACACACATTTTCCATCGGAAAACTGATCTTGTCTTATCGATACATTTGTTTCATGTCGCCCATCTCTTGTCTGGGAATATCGACCAATCAGGAATGCGACCTTGCGTGGAGTGGTTATTCGGCAGAGGCGGCGCATTGGCGACGCATTCGATGTCTGTCGCATTTCTGAGCTCGTGAGGGTGGTGTGAGGTCGTGTGTTCTTGCGCTATGGGAGCGAAAGTTGGCCAGTGAGACCCTCTGCTTTTCTGGTCTCAATTCCAGCCTTTGAGTCCCATTCCTCGCCGACCCACCATGGCAGTCACTGCCGAAAAAGAGGCCACCACGGCTCGAGAGAAGCTGAACGAAGATTCGGATGACGAGGACGAGTTCCTGGAATACAGCCCTTGCGGTACCATCACCAAACTTCGTCAACAAGTAAGTCACATCTTTTTCCATACTATTTCAACTCGGCGCCATGGTACCTTACTTCTTTCATGGTGCTGTTTGCCTGCCCAATTCCATGATGCACCCTACTCCCCGACTGGAAAAAATGCACGCTTTCGTCGAGAACTCGAGCGTAGTTGGGCGTTTGCGCCGAAAATTTTCGGCGTACTTCGGCGTAAATCGACGGCTTGCGCCGAAATTTTCGGCGTACTTCGGCGTAAATCGCGAAAAAAACCGTCAGGGGGTGGCACCAACCCCCCTCGGCCGGCGAGGATTAAATGTCTTCGGGAGTTAAACATCTTAAATATCACTTATCTTGTCTCGTGTTTGTCTCAGGGTATTTAAGTCATGTTCAGTGAACCTGATTGTGACTCTCCCACGGCGGGAACAGTTCACCGGGAGTGAGGTTATGGATTGTCGGATTCCCTAGTTCAGAGGGCTGTTCACGGGCCCTGTGTGCGGTCGGACCGCACACAGCCTCGAAGCTCCGCCCACTTCGTCCCTACGTCAGCCTTCCGTCACCGCACACAGCGATCGCTGTGGCCGGTCGGGACTGGCCACAGCGGACCGTCCACCGCACGCAGCCGTGACGTCAGAGCCGCCTACCCATCCCCTACCCCCACGCCTGCTGGACGCACCGCACACACCGCACGCAGCAGTGTGCGGTGCCCGTGAACACCCCTCAGATAACGTATGCTATCGTGTGCGTATTGACCGTTGTGATTCCTGTATTTCCGGCGTGTGGTTTGCGAGCGGACGCTGGCAATCGGTCCCGCGTGGCCTGGTATCTGCCCGATCCCATCGGCCGTGCTTGCACCACGCCTGTTGAAGGCCCCGTCAGGCGTCAGTCACCGGTTGGGCACTACTGCTGATCAGAGCCGGGCAACAAAATAAAGGTTACATTATGGAACATGCCAGTGAGTTTGTGAGTCAGGAGATTTTGTGATAGCGAACGCTGGTGCTCGGTCCCGCATGGCCTGCTGATGTCTATTGTCTGCCCGATCCCGTCGACCGTGCCAACAACCGTCTGTAGACAGTAGTCACTGGAAGACAGCCACACACACACGCCAGCCCCCCCCCCTCGACGAAAAGTGCGTGGCTACAGCCTGCAGCCATCAGTAAGCCTTGAAAATTTTCGGCGCATGAAGCATGGCTTGGTAAAATAATTTTGGCGCATAAACCCTTGCGCCGAAATTTCGGCGCATCACTTCTGCCGAGAACTTCAGCGTAGTGGAGGTATTTTTTCCAGTCGGGCCCTACTCCAAGACAAAAACAAAATTATAATTCTGGCATTCAATATATGTCAATATATTTTTGCATTTGTGCTTTTATCTTGTTTGTATGTCACTGTTATTTCAACAAATCAAAGTACTGCCAAGCATTTCAACTGTGGGCATTGGTGATGAGTGCTGAGTCAGAAAGCTTCATATCTTCTGTCCGATATCTGGAAGAAATGTTGCTGAGTGAGAGTATAGTCTATGCCCTTGTATTCAGTTGTATTTAAAGGCTGTTTTGTGCATGAGTTGCTCAATTTCAAAAGTTGTCATGCAGCTTGATATCTTTATCTACCAACATGCATTATGATTCTGCTCATCTCGCTGCTCATCGTGAACCATGGTACCAAAGACCTCCAGTTCAAGTGGACTGACTATTGACAATGACATTTATGTGATGTTTTAGTAGTTTTTTATAATTTCTTTTAATATAGACCTAACCCTTGCAAAGCATAATTTTGTGTGTTTTATGTTAAATGGTTGGTGGAAAAATGGTTATTTCAAGCATATGTTTCTTTTACAACAGCCAAAACAAGCTGAATATCATCAATCTTGGAATCTGACACTGATAGAAAGGGGATAGGCTATGAAATTTTGATTGAAAATGGACACTTATCTGCTTTTTTCTATGCATCCTCATGGTTTTCCATTGTTTGGTCAAGACTCCAGTCCAGTCCAGACAAGTCCAGAGTCATAGGCAGTGTTGACACTGCCTATGAGTTTCTGTCATTTTTTTCATCCATCCTGTCCTGAGCCGGCCGTTGCAGACGGCCGGCTGCTGACGTCACGCCCATGGCTGCCGGAAGCGGCGTGCCGGCGGCCCGCTGGTATATAGGGCCTTGGCCCGCTGTCGGCCGCGGAGCAAGGTCGCCTCTGCTCCGCTGACCGGCGCGTGACCGGCCGCGGGCAGAGGCGGTCCTCGGCGCGCGGATTCCGCCGCGGGCCGGCCAGTTCCGCGCGGACCCGGCACTGCCGGCTGCACGCAGCGGCCTTGGTTCATGCGGAATCTGAGCCGGGGGCAATGCCGGCGGATCATGCAGAATGCAGTCGATGAACAGGGCGGCCTCGGCCGGTGTGGGGGTTTCGGACATGGTAACCACTAACTAGCGCACCGATAGATGATATCGGGAGTCTGAACGGCAACGGCACCCGCCGGAGGAGGAGCCGTGTTCCCCGCTGTGGCTGGTCGGCCGAGTCGCTGCGATACGCCGGCGTCAGCGGCAGTAGGTACTGGCGACTTTCGGAGACGTTTACAGAGTAATTGAGGCCAGACAAGGCCGGCGGGCTGTGAGTGCCCCAGCAGAAAGGTGGTAAAACCGTTGGCCTGTGTCCGTCCGCTCATGCGGTCGGCTACGCTGTGGGCCTGTGGCTGCCTGTGCATGTTTGTGATTTGCGCAGCCCAGCGTGCCATGCTGTCTCCAGGGGTTATCTGAGCCGGCCCGGGTCCGTCAGGGCCTGCTGGCTGAACGACTCCACCATACCGCCCGGTGCTGCTGACCCATGTTGTTGACCTGAGAGAAAGCCGAGCCTATCTGTGAACCCCGGCGGTTGTGACCGCGTCAGCAGGGTAGTGTTTGGTTAGCTCCCTGAGTCACCAAGACCCGCCCCGTGGCCGTCCAGTCAGCTGACTGCCCGTCACGGCTGTCACAGACCGTCCGTCACGGCCGTCACGGTCCGTCTGAGTCGTGACGGCCGGCTGTGGTCCGTGACCTCGGCTCGTGCGGATTGACCAGACGTCTGGCGGCTGCCTTTGAAGCCCGGTCTGGTCTGACCAACATGGCTGTGGTCGGTTCGTGCGGCGCAAGCTGGTACTGGGAAGTGGTGGAGCTTGTTATGTGGAGAACTGGAGTAGATGCACCGCTGAAGTGCAGACAAGCTTCCTGGCTTGAAACTTATGGTGTTCTTTTGTTGATGAGGTTTCGGCGATTTCGGCGCATGAATTATGTCCCGAGGAAAGGAGTTGCTCAGTAGTTTGGTCGAGTTGTGCTCGTCACTTGTCTCGGCGCAGTCTGGCGTAGGCTGGAGCGGTGTTACTACTTAGGTGGTGGATCCCGATGGTGAGTGAAGGTAACTCATCTAGCCGAGCTCGGGCTTACACCATCGAACTGACCTAGGCACCACCAAGTCCGGGCTGATAGTCGATACGGATGAACTGAGAGCCCGGTACTGCTAAGCTCCGGCTGCTGTCCGGCCAAGACGGACGGTCCAGGGAAGTTGGTGGAAGGGATGGAATGGAATGTCCGGCCGGAGCTCCCTTGGGCTCAAGGGCGGATCTAGGGGAACGTTTTGGGGGGGGTCACCAGTCGGCCGACATGCCAGGTCTGATGAATGAATTCTGACGACCGGGGGGGGGGGGGGGGGGGTAGGGAGCGAGTATGTCGAGATCCAATGACATTTGATCTTCGTCGTTTCTGAGTTGAAGTTTTATCGTAAGTCACTCGGCTCAGTAGTTTTAGTTAGTGAAACCCACCTATAGAGGAGCGTCGCCACGGATTTTTTTACTGGGGGGGGGGGGGGGGCGGATCGACCGACTTAAAAACCCAGAAGTAGTAGATATAGTTACCTCACTTATGCATTAGTCTAATGCCCAATGCATTAGTAGCATACAGTCACGATCTCTCTTATTGACCTGTGTATGAATCGGCGGCGCGAAGCGCCGCAAAAATTTGAAAAAAGTTGTCAAAACACAGCTCTAAAACACAAATATTACAACCCTTTTAGCATGCTAGTACAAGCCGGAGTTC